GCATCCCAGCTTTTAAGATCAGCCTGACGAGAGCACATCTGATTATCCAAGGACTTTCTGTGTCTGTGTTTATTTAAACTGCTTCTAGTGATGCCTTCAGCTCTGAAAATAATGATAAAAGTTAGCACGTCTCTGTCAAAGCAGAACCAGTAGACCAAGATCTAAGTTTGATTCTATTTTCTGTTCTCATTCCCGCAAGAATACATGAAATGCGGTAATTTTCACTGGACTTTTAAAGGTGAAGGTGACTGGCGTTAGCCATATTGATATAGGATCACAGTTTTGATTGATTGATTGACTTTATTGATCTCACAGTGGAGATATTTACTCCTCAAATCAGCTGAAATAGTCAAAGGAGAAGGAGAATGTGCCAAAGGAAGAACAGGGTGCATGGGATATATACAGTATATACTGTGCGTCCACATGACTTTTTCTTTTTTTAGTAGGATCATTATACAGGGTTATTGCACAGGGTGTTTACATTGGTGTTTATAAAGATAGATATTTATAGATTTTTATATATAGTTATTGTACTGGGTGTCAAATGTAGAGAAACAGGTTATTGCACAGGGTATCAAATAGTAATCACACGTTATACATTGCAAAAGTTATTGCCGTTGTAATGTTGAATTGTAGAGTCTTGTTGCAGCAGAGATGAATGACCTGCAGTAGCACTCCTCTCTACAAACAGGGTGTAAGTCTTTCACTAAAGGAGCTGCTCAGCACCTTTACAGTCTGGTGCAGAGGATGGAAGGTGTTGTCCATGATGAAGTAAACTGTGTGGGCCAGAACTGGGTCAGAACTGGGTCAGACAATCAGAAGGTTAAGTCTACAGATGCTGCTTTGGCCTTTCTATTCAATTACAGCCGATTCATAACTCCCTCAGAAAGTACGCTAAGTAAAAAAAAAAAGAAACAGTGTATGTGACCTCTGAATTATCTACATGTAGGGCTTTAACTCTTTTACTGAGAAAAAAATTGAGAAATGTTGATGCTGCCGAACTTTTTGTGTTTTTATGAATTATTTATGAATTTAATATTCTCCAGTTTGTAATGCTCTCTTTTCCTGATCTTTCATCATTTGGGATGGCCACATGCATCACTACAATGGTCCTCTGCTGCTTATCAGTTATTACAAGTCCGGTTGGTTGGCCACAACCAGTGTGTCTATTTGTTCTGCAAGTCCCACAGGATCGTAGCTCCACCTTGGGAGGGGGCTCCCATTTTGACCCGAGGGTCTCCAGTTTGTGTTCTGCTACTAGTAGTTTGTGTTCTGTTACTAGTAGTTTTAACATTAGTGGCCTTAATTTCCTCCTTAGGCCAACCAATTATTCCAGCAGAGTATCTGATAACTGCCAAGGCATAGTTGTTGATTGCCTTGAACTTGTCCAGAACTTGCCTTAATCGTTGCAGGTATTTGGCTGTTGCTGCTTTCCTTCTAGCCTCTTCATGGTAGTCATTTACCTTTGGTATGCCAGGGTACTTTTAGCCCTCGTCCACCTTCTGGCAGTGTGACCCGTCAGTTTGGATTACCTTCCCTCTCCTTGCCACCATCCGGCTACGTTTCTCCATTGCCATGTCTCTGCTGTAGATCCTGGTGGTGTGGATCAGTGAGTCGACATCTCCTTCACTCTTACATACAGAGTATTTCATCCATGTACAGGAGGTGGCTGATAGTGGCCCCATTTCTAAGTTAGTATCCATAAACAGCCTTGTTGATTATTTGCTCAGGGAGTTCAGGCCTATGCGGATTTGGAAAGGGGACAGAGCCTATCCTTGATACAACCCATACTTGATGGAAATTTGTGTGGTTTTCAGCAGCCCCATTGAGTGTCAATGAAGGCTGTTCAAGTACTGTTGATGTTGTACAACTTCAGGACTTCATCCAACTTTATCCATCTGCCTACTTATACTGTATCTGCTGCAATGATGCTGACAGGAGTTTCCATGTTGTGCAGAGACAGGTTATTATAGTTTATGTATATACTGAAAATTTTCAGTCTTACATTTGGACAAGACAGCAGATTCCTGCAGAATAAACCTTAAAGGCTGCACGAGAGGCCAAAAAATATATCAAGCAATGATAATTAGCAAATATGACTGATTGATAACAATCAGCGATGCCCAGCGATACATACAAAGCAGGGTGACGTTAGGCTCCTGAATCAGCTCTGACCTCAATACTAATTGCTGTTAAGTTATAATCAGTCTCTCTTCAGACCGATTGTTCCTTGATTTGATGTATCCTCAATTAAAAAGAAAAAGTTTCTTTTTTCTTCTTTGTTTTCAGACAAGCCAACAGCTGCAATATTAAAGGTTTAATGTAGCCATCACAGTGATATTAATCTTCTAATCGAACCACTGTGAAAAAGTGCGGCTAACTGGCATGTCTGCGCTAAGAACCGAGCAGGAGATGGATATTAATTATCCAGCTTCTGGACATCCAGAAGTTGAATTATTCATAGAAGTCTTTTTGGATCATGTTTCTTCTCAGATAAAAAAAAACAACCTCTTTTGATAAAACTGGAGGAAAATCATGTCAGAGCTGCCAGAAGAAACTCATATGAAGCGTCTTGCCACAATCACTTCTTGCTGTTCTGTCGAGAAATATATTAAATCGAGTAACATGGGATCAAAGCTTCAAAAGTCTTAGTTTCATTTGTTTCTGAAAAGACGCATGGTATTTGCTTTAAATCTCAAGAAAATGACACATTTAGAAGTTTAAGCATTAATTTATTTTCTGGCAATTAAATCTACATAAACAATAAAAAGTATTTTAAATAATTAGTTAACTTTTTGGGTTAAGAGCATCTTCTCCATCTGAAAATTCCCAACATGAACTATCTAGTTCCCTTCAGGGAAGTTTCATTGAGCTTCTTGGCTGCAATAAAGAGTTATTTTTTTGCATTGTCAAGGTGAAGCTTGGTGATGGCAGCATCATGCTGTGGAGGCTGTTTTACTATTTTTAGGACTGGTGCACAAGATGGAATAAAGGCTAATGAAAGAGCACCTATCTGCTCTTTAAATTGGTCATATATTGAAGGGGGAACATTAAAACAGCTGCAAATGCTGCAAACAACTGAACCAAGTGTCAAGCATGGTGATGGCAGTATTATGCCAAATCTCTGCTTCTGGCACTGTTGCAAAGCAAATGGTGTAGTGGTTATTCTTTAGCTTTATGTTGAACTGAGAGTGAACCGAAAGGAAAAAGCTAAACCTGGTTTGTGTGTCTACACGCTGAGGACATCCCAAAGGATCGAGTTGATCAAATTCGATTTATAAATGCAAGTAACTGTGTGGCAATGAGTTCGGCCTGCAGTGTTTGGCCTCATTTCGCTTTAATCATTCCGTGAACAGCATTTTGTCTCTGAAACACCAAATAATGGTACATTTCTGCCTCTTCCTGACCAAAGTGATGGTTATCTGATCATTGTTCTGCAGTTGCTCACATTGTCGGGCTAACTGGTCGGATAGGGATTGTAATGAGTCTGTAAGGAGATAGTTTTAAGCGGAAGTTGAGAAAGATGCTGCAGTTTTACAGGAATCTGGGTAGATTTCCTGGTCTTTTTAGAGATTACACCAACAGGAACCAGCTTTTCTATTCTGGAGCTCGAAATGTTCACCAAACCACTTTGTTATAGGATCAAAATACACTTTTAATCTGTCAATGTCGTTTCCCCTTTAAGACAAAAAAACCTGTGAAAAAACTTTTCTTAACTGCACATAATATCACTGAATGAAATGTTTAGAGAGTAGATAGTGACTGATTATCAGCCCTTTGCACAGGTAGATAAGGTTGGTTCAAGTATGGCTCAGTCACTGAGCTCTCAAACTGAAGGAAATCAGGGCTGATAAATCATTGCACTCCTACTTTTTCTATCTGCTATATCTGGGGTCCCAATGGGGGAGTTGATTCTTCGTGCCCTGGGAATTGTTGATTTAGAACTGTCAGTAGTTTTCATTGTTGCTAAACTTTACAGAAATCAGGTGATATTGTTCAAATGTTACAGTATAAAAGTAGACACTTTTAATATGGATGATTTGTAAAAACTGTATAAAACTGTCAAAAACTTAATTACTCAACCTGCGAATAGCTCTGATCATTGGTTCTACGCCTTATGAGGTCATCTTAGGTGTATGCACATGAACGCTTGTTTTTGTTGTCGTTTTAATTTTGGTTAAGCAGCCTTTCACTACAAAAATATACAGTTAAGAAGAAAGCCCTTAACATTTCCTGAAAACGAGTCAAACTCTGACTGAAGGATGTTAGATTGTTTTTCACTGGACAATCTGGCAGCTTCAAAGCACTTTGAGCCACAACTTTCAGTGCAATTCATTGAAAATGCAGCAGCAGCAGCATCTGGGTGTATCTCTGGTTGGTATTTGAGGGTTAAAGAACAAAAAAACACAACAAATGTCAGCACATCCTGACAATCAGTTCACAGATCACTAAGCGAGCATATGTGAACTGGGCTTCAGGGCAGCTTTTTTGGTTGGAGCTCAGAGGAAATGAGTGGGAGAGAGAGAGAGACGGCAAGAGAGGGACATTTTCATCACGACACCAGCAAGAAAGCTGAGTCATGTCAGCTGACGGGAAAAAATGGGGGGCTTGCAGGATATATATATTCTAAAAATAAATTGAATAGGGGAGATTACAGCTCAATAAATAGAAATATCAATCAGCAAAGGTTCTTTCTTAAGTAGATGGAAAGAGCTGCAGCACACAGAGAAAGGCAGGATTTTTAGACAGTGAAGAGGATGGATGTGTGTGTGTGTGTTGGAGGTGGGATGGGGTGGGGGTGGGGGCTGGCGTGACAACGTGGCTGTGAGATTATACCATTGTTGAGCTTGCTGTATGCATGCATTGTGTATGCATGAAGAGGTTGGTGCTGCAACAGGAACCACATGAGCAGGGAGGAGTTGCGAGAGGAGAGAGGCGTCATGACAAATAAGACTCCACGCCCCTCCCTGCCCAGCATCCATTTACAGAGCAGCTGATGTCTGCTGCTTCACTGGAGGTGCTCGGACTCAGCAGCAATACAAGGGGAACTCTGCTGGATTTGGATCAGTGCTGAAGAGGAGAAGTTGGACGGTCTGTGAGGACTTTTCGTGCCAGTTTCAGGAGGAGCACCGGATGCGACTGACCACAGACCAGCTGTTCCAGTTGCATCGGGAGATTTTCACCAGTTCCCAGTAAAAGTACTGCAGGCTCTCTCTACGATTCTACAGGTTGAAACAGGATGACCACTATGCAAAGGTTGCTGCAGCTGCCAGTGAATGCTGTGAACATGGTGAAGACTGTTCAGAGTCAGGTCCAGGGCCAGGAAGAGGACAAAAGTCCCGTGCTGAGTCCTGACAGTGGACAGCAGACTTGGTACAGCGCCCTGCAGCCGGATGAACTGCGCCACCTCCGATCTGGAGGTACTGGGAGTGGAGGAGGAAGTGGAGGAGGAGACCAGGAGGAACGAGGCTCCCAGGAGGAAGGAGGTGGAGGTGGCAGCTTCCAAAGTCAGCCACTGCGGTAGGAAAACTCAGACCGGCTCCTCTAGTAGATCACAATCAATCCAATTTTCATAAATGTTTAGAGAATTTGTAACTTTTGCAGATTTTTTTTATTCAACTAGAAATTTTTATTCATCTTTCAGAATCTTTTTATGATCTGCTTTAGGGGCATCATACCTGAGGCCTCCAAAGCAGATGTTCTAAAACTTTTATTAAAAAACACTAAACCAGTTTATAACAAGGTTCTCAGCAGTCATTGGCTGGTTGCTGATATATCGGTTAATCAAAGCTTACAGCTTTAATTTCAAAAGCTCTATGCTGTTATACCTTTACCACAGCTTAAATTCCTTGTGGCATCTTATTTAACTTAGAACAATGTGCTCTTTCCCTTCTGCTGTGCACTGCCGATCAGCTGTCCTAATATCAGTTTGTATGCAGAGAAGAATGTAGTGGGGGTTTACCATGTTTATTTATGTCTATAACTCCAGTTGAAATGATAATAAATAGATTGAGTTATAACTGCATCCATCACTCAGAGCCTTGGTGTTTTGTATTGAAGGTTATCACATAATGACAAGGTCCTTCCAACTTCTGCCTAGATCCAAGTATCACCATCATGCTGGGTGTTTAAAAATAGTACAACTACCTTTTTAAGTCTGTGGAGATTTATATATTTTTTGATTAATAATATATCTGTTAACTTTGCAGATTTGGTTAAAGGATAGTCTTGCAGATGTGAGAAATAATCAGGAATTTCCTTCAGGTCTAAATTCTCAAGGTGGAAAGTGAATGCTTCTCTCTCTTATAATAGCTATAGGAACAGTAACAGATTGTTAATTTGGTCCTCTGGCAGCGTTTTGCTCTTCAAAGTATTTATCAAGCAGCACTGTTTAATCCACATCAGTGAACATGTTCCTTTTGGTTGAATGAAAAATCAAAATTATACATTGCTAGCCTGTTAAATGGAGCCTATGCGGAAGTCCAACTGAATAAACTGATTACTCGCCTTCATCCACCTGCGACACAGCCAATCAGCTTTTAACCACACCTCCACGAAACCCAATCAGCATCCAAAGTTCATCTTAAAAGGGCTCCGATCCAAACTCGTGTGTGACTTCATTCAGATGACACCGTTTTAACCCTCCTCCACCATCGTAGCTAAAGCTTCATCAGAGCGTCATTCCTCCCAGACTCTTACTATATTCCGCGTCTCATTTCAACCAGTTCAGCAGAGGACCGCCATGTTGAGCCTGGCTCTGCCCGAGGTTTCTTACCAATGGGGAGTTTTTCCTCTCCACAGTCGCTTTATGCTTGCTCATCATGGACAGGTTCTCTCATTCCAACTGGACTTCCACCTTCCAGGTCCCTGAGTGAAGCTCTAGTATCAGCTCATGCAGTCCACTGGATCTCCCCATAAAGCTCAGCAGACCGTCTTTCTAACCAGCAGTCTACAGACTGACCAACTTCTTCTATCTCCACGCCACCACCAGTTTCAGGCCTGGAGGGGAAACAGCCCTGTTCTTTGCTCCTGTTCATGCATGTTTTCTGCTGAGGTCTGATATAAGTAATTATATCAATAAAATTATTCTGTCTTTCCTCTCTGTGTGAGTTTTTATGTTTGAATTGTAGCTAGCTTGGATCTCAATAAGTAGCCACAAACCCTTGTTTATGTTCATATTCATATTTGGTGAACTGTAAAGTGCCTTGAGATGACATGTGTTGTAAATTGGCGCTATAGAAATAAACTAAACTGAATTAAATTGAATATTTCTTCTGTTCAAATTATATACAAACTTCTTGAAGTATTCATCATTATTGTCTGGAAGATTTCTGTAAACAAAGTTTAAAAAAATTATCTTTGAATTAAATTAAATACACAGTTATTAGCCTATGTTGCTAATAGTTAGCTTGGTGTGGTTTGTTATTTAAAAAGCCAAGGCTGCTCCTTTCATTAATTTTGCATCTACAATGAAAAGCTATGTTTTCAGAATCACAAGCACACAAAATGACCTTTTTTAATGTTTTTGGCTTCAACCTCCAATCACTTGTTTTAAATCGAATGAAATCAGAGCATCGCTTTCAAAGCTGTGTCACACTAGAAAAGCCAGCATGGCTCCAGCCTCATAAATGCAAGGCTGAAAGTCGTCAGTCGTCGAGGCTGTTTCTGATTAATTCTCATCCGCTCCTTTTTCTAACCACCGCTGTCACATACCCCACATCTGATGTAGTATCTCAGTGCTGCCTTACGTTTATGGATACCTTCCAGCTGATATCTTGGCTCCTGCTCCGGGTAACAGACGCGGCTGTGCGCTCCACTGGGCAACAGCAGGTTAAATAATTAACAGGTGTTGTAAATTCAGCCGTCGCTGGTACTGAAAAAAACAAAAAACCCAGAGAAATAAGAGAAGTAGTGTTGGTGTAGAGTTTCTGAGGGCCCCTCGGGGACCGGGACTGTTTTTCCATGTTGCTCATCAATGTGACGCTTTTCTTCAAGCTCAGCGATAGAAAACAGTTTTAAACAAAGTGATATATCTAGACTTCATCCAAAGCACTTTAAGAGCTTCATTCTATACCAGATATTCTACTTGTCTGCCATCGGTCAACAGGCTCCAACCAGCTGTCCGTTCCTCCTAGAGACATGCTTAATCAGTCAGATGATTCCACTGCGACAGCCTCTCGCTCCAAACCAACATTATTAATATTAAACATTTCCAGGATTCACTTTAATTAAACATGTTTGAATTTGTTTGCCATCAGAAGCCGTATCAGTCCCTGTCTAAAAACCAGAGAGGCTGATTAGGTGGATTTATCATCATGAGCTGTGAAACAAATGAAACCTTCCAGCTTTCTCTCCTGTACAATCCTGGGATGAAAGAACATTTCCTGTTTTTTTTAGATTGACTTCTCAATAATCCTAAATCAAATCATACGATTGATCTGGTGCTGGTTGAAACAAGGATGTAGATGTTTTTGATTTCCAACAAATGTTCCCATTAACTTTAACGATTTCCTTCTTTTTTTGTTTCTCTACCAATGGTTTTTAAAGTGAGGTTCATCGTTGCTTTAATCCCGGATGCGATCAAGTCTTTGAGGGACAGGGGTGCTTCCAATAATCTGTTGATTGTTTTTTTTTTTTTTTTGATCAATTGATTAATAATTGGATAGAAAATCATTTTAAGCAGGATTTTAACCAGGCAAACATAAAACTATGTTCATTTAGGAGTTCTGTGAAAAAAAAATATTGATGGGAGAAAAAAGTTTTTTTCTATTATATGTTGAATGCAAAGTGTTTCATATATTGATGAATCAAATTTTTGGTTTATGGAGATTTCATTTTATAACAGCCATCCATTCATCGCTCAGAGTGAAATCAGCTCATCGCTTTATGTTCTCAGATGTCTCCTCTATGCTGATAAACCAGCTCACAGAGCACTAGCTGCTATCAATGTTATATTTTCATTGTTTGTTGTGAAACACAGTAACGTTACAGTAGTTTTTCCAAGCTCGAATTTCATGGCCCCTTAAGTGAAGATCACCTCCCAGTGGGATGAGCAAAATAAAAGCTGGTCTTTGAAAGTAATGTGAGTTTTTATAATGCATCTTCAGGTTTTGTAAATTTAATTAATCAGATCTGGTAGGAAAAAATCCGAAATTAGATTTGAAGCCATATCACCCAGCCCTAATAGCATTATTTCAGTAATCACTTAAACATGATCAGTCTGAATAATTGTTTCAGCCCTAATCCAGTCCCTTGTAAAATGTGAGTTTAAAATCAATGCAGTGGATGTCATTATAGTTTTCCCTTTTTTCCAGCAGCCACAGATATTAAGTTCCAGTAGGAACCATTTAATGCCAGTCATCTAAACATCTTTATTTGGATGCTTATGAGGTACCAGGGATTTTATTAGACCAACATAAAGCTTTCTAAGGTTCAATTCAAATATGTAGGTAATCACCACATTGCTTTGCCTGTTTTACAGGGAATAATTGTTGAAGATTTTATTGTTTTTACTGAGATTTTTTTCTTTTCCAACCTGGTGAGACTCATATACAATCTTATTCTTCAAAATATTTATATCTAAGAAAAACCAGCTGATTGCATCAACTTATTGACTTCCTGCAATTCTTCTTCTTACCATGAGAGGAAAGACTCCCTTTTAACAGGAAGAAACCTCCAGCAGAACCAGGCTCAGTGTGAGCGGCCATCTGCTGAGGATGACTGGGGTTCAAGGAGACAGAAGCAGATAAAGACATAAATTAAATTATTTATTTGGGGCTCGCGACCCGGCGGAAGACTTTGATCCTGTGAATCATGAAGGTTCACTTGCAAGTGGGCAAAAAAAGCTAGGCCAGGAGCTAAATGAAGTGGATCTTGAAAGATGATTGGCTTCGGAGAAGGTGCACCCCCCCGACTTGATTTGAGCTGAATGACGGACATTGTAGGTGGTTCTTCCCGATTGAATTTACGCTCAAGCTTAATTTACTGAGTGTGACTTTGTCTAAACTACATTATTGTTTTTACCCCCTTGCTTACAAATTGAGCTGATTTCCAGAATTACTGACTCCAACCCTGACCTGTCTATAGATGCTTGTTTTACCTGAAAACTGATATTTATTTACCAGGTATATAAAAGCGGCTGGCTAGCTCAAGTGGTAGGTCACCTGTCCTGCAATCAGGAAGCCTGGGTTTGTATCCCAGGTGGGGGAATGAGCTGCCATTGTGGGTCCTTAGAATTAGGTGTTTAGGGCATTGTGCATTTCGACCCCCAGTGCTCTGGGTCCCAGAGCAAGACCCTTAACCCCCACACTGCTCCCCTGCACAATGGCAGTCCTCCCCATTCCCAGAGGGATGGGTTAGAGGCAGATTGTTATTTTCACTGCTCTGTACTTGTGACAGTGTAATGATAATAAAACACTGGAAAAAAAAAAAAAAAAAAATAACTTTTTTCATTTTGAGTGAATTAAATAAGCCAACCTTGTCCGCTTTGGTTAATTCAAGATTGACACATCAAACAAAACATTAACATAGGATAGTAAACATGAACCAGCTCATATGGAGACATGGCTGCAGAATGCACTGAGCAGCCAACAATGATGCAAAAAAAAACAACAAAACTTTGATATCAACTGTCTGATGTATCAGACCTTAAATTTGTAATCTCAAATTATCCTCACCAGCAAAAGTCTAGAGAGATTAGTGTCTGATACTATGAAAAATATTGTCTTGTATGCTTCAAATCATGGCTACATTTTCTGAGCACCTAGGACACCAGGTTACGCTCTACTTTCAGGATCGCTAACATAATAATAGTTGACCTTCATTGTTAACTTTAAGCAAACTTACAGTCACAAGAACAAGAAGGGACTGTAGACAAAATATTAATTTCAGTCCAACCAAACCAAGAATTGAAACTCTTCCCCTTCCTGTGCTTTTAGTCTTTGCTCCTAAGTTAAAGAGACCGTACTTACAAATCTTTCACCTGTAATTTCATGCAGACAGATATTTCTGTTCTACTCCTTTGTTTTGGTTTAATGTCATCACTCCTAAAAACGTTTTTCATCTGACTCATCGGGCAGTGAGCAGATCAGAACTGCTTCAGAACCAACATAAGATGAGAGAAATGCTCAGCATACAGACGATGGGGCGAGGATGTGAGCTAGAAATGGGGATCAGATTTTTCCTGTTCTGTCTCTACTCCTCATTGCTTTGGGCAATTTTAATTTACCAAGTCCTGTTATTTTCAGATGTTCTCTTTTGTTTGGCATCCAACCACGTTTTTGTACCATCATCAGTTCATGGCTCTCATCTAAAAATAACCCTCAGTGTCAAGATTTTAATGGAGGTTTTTCTATGGGTTTGGTGTTTGAAGTGTGTGATAGAAGGATCTACTATTTATAATTACAACGCTGTGATGCTGGAGAGACATTCGCACCTCAACGTCAGTTTAAAGTGCTGATGATCTGCAGCCGCCACGTGTCGTCTCGCTGATGTCATGGGTCTAAACCAGATGGCCGGTACTGAATAAACCATCAAGCCCCTGATTCCACTTCAGAAGTAAAAAGAAAATAAAAGGCTATAACTCCATTTTACTTTTAGATTAATTCTCACCTTCTAAAAAAAATTAAATAAACTAGTTAGTAGAATAGTTGGTAAAGCAGTTTTATTTTTATTTGAATGTGAAAAACATATTCAATAAAAAGTATTTTAAAGCCTCTGTAACGCTTTTATGAATGAACATTTTGCATAAACACAAATATTTACATCCACATTAGGGAAAGCATGCGTCTGGGTCCTTCATCCCACACCTGCTGTTTAACAGATCAAGCAGCATGAATCAAAGCTGTTCTGGCTTCCTCTGCAAAGAGGCAGGAAATCACTTAGCCACATTTTATTGCATCCTTTGTTACCTTGGAAACTAGTTGGGGAGGGACTTTTTATTTCAGATCGGAAAAATAAAAAAGCCTGAAAGTTTAGAATGTGTGAAAGGTTATCAGTTTGCCCTTCTTGATAAATGAAAAGGCAGCAAAACAGATAAACATTTTGACAATGTCAACGATTTATCACCCCCCTTATCTAATTACTCCACCGTCTTTATGCTGTGGAGCTGCAGCAGGGATGCAGCCCGTAAGCGCCGGCCTTTGTGTGACCGCTGTTTGCCTTTCTCCACCCAACAGGTTTGGCAGAAAGCAGCAGGGTTGTTTGCTGCAGTTCATATGACAGCAGGATGGAGCAGCATCTCTGCTTAGATCAGGGTCTGCTCTATAAGGTGTTACCAGTGGGGAGCGTCTGTTCCTGCCAAGCCTAAAATAAACTATAGAGGAATACAAGAAAACAAAACAGAAATGTATTGTTGAAATATAATTAGCAACTTAGCCCTAAATGGAATGGAGTGCAAATAACTACCTTCATCAGCAAATAGAGGCTGGAATTTAATTGTAGTATGAATCCATTTGTTTTATGAAAGCTGCTGAGATTTGTTAGAGGAAATTGGTGATAAAGTCGGGGATTAAGCTGTGGAGAAGTCTAAGGAAGGTTAGAGAACAATGTACAAAGGTTTTAGCTTCTTACCCACTTTAGGTCAAAGTAGATGAGATAAACTGTAGAAAGTAAATTACATTTAAGCCTTATACTCTTCAAAGCCTTTCAAAGTCAACTATAGGAATTGATTAGATGGAATAAGCAATTTATGATAAACAGCAACATTGCTAAGTTTAGCTTTTTGGTGGATAAACTTTTATTGATCAATTACTAGTTGGTTAGATTATTGAAAAATTGCTTCCATTTCTCATTTGGTTTCTAAAGCAGAGCTATTGTTGTTTCCTGACAACCAATGTTTATTTTCTGGTCAGCAAAATCCCAATTAATGGTGTGATGTATGTTGGTTAAAGGCAATATTCACTTCTCTTCTCTTTTATTGCAAAGTAAATTAAAAAAAACAAAAAAACACTTGAGTTTATACACAGATTTCCACGTTGGTAAAGATTTTAATTTCAGCTTTTAAAGATGAATCCAAACTTGTTCTTGTCGGCCTCTTTGATTTAAATAGCTGCAGTTTGTCGATCTTTAAGGAGAAATTAATAGATACGTGTTTTGTTCCACAGCAAAAATCTGCTATAGGAGGGAATTGTCTGTCGATCCTTTTCTAGTAGTTTGCAGTTTCTGTGTGTAAACCAATGCTCAATGCTCTGGTACAGAAAGCACATATTTATCAGACGGTCACCAGGAGGATAGAAATCTGAATTATTTAGATTTCTAAACATTTGTTTCCATTATTGTTTACAAAGAAAAATGTGATGCATTAATTAGAAATTGTTTTTAGTTAGGATCAGAGGTGTCAAAAGTATTCATGTTTATTACTCAAGCAGAACTATAAATCCAACTGTTTAAAAACACTTTTGGAGAAGTGTTTTTATAGTTTTTTACAGAGTATCAACTTAAGCGTTTTACTCAAGTAAAAGTGTAAAAGTAATATTTTTATAACCCAGGGCAGCTGTGGCTACAATGTAGCTTGCCACCATCAGGGTGTGAGGGTGTGCGTGAATGGGTGAAGGACTGAATATAGTGTAAAGCGCTTTCGTCAAGTCTCCTGACTTGGAAAAGCGCTAAATAAATACTGGCCATTTATAAGTACAGGCCATTTAAATCTACTTTAAGTATAAAAGTAAAAGTAATGAAGGAAAAATGTTGAGGACAGACGCTTTACTGCTCTACCCCATTAAAGGAACAGTTTCTACAATTCTGGATGATAAATTCCTTAGACTTCATTTTCTTAGTTTTATAACTAATGGTAACAGTGACTAATTTAACTTTGCATCATCTTTTAAAACGATTTTGGTATGTGTGAAAAACAAGTTTGTGCAACACAGAGTCCAACCACAAAGAAATTAATTGTTTGGACGAAATAAAATATTTTAAGGTTTTTTTTTTCTCCTTTAAATACCAACAGGCCATAATAAAATAACCTTATATGAAACAAAACTAACAAGTCTATTTTTAAAATGTAAGAAGTAGGAAGTAGAGACAATTCCAGAGTAGAAGTAAAAAGTTGTCTAAAGCATAATTAGTCCAGTAGAGTATAGATAGCCAACCTTTCTACGAGATAATGATAATGAAGGAAGATAATGAAGTATTGGTACTTTGTTACTTAACACCTCTGGTGGGTGTTCTGAATAATGTAAACTCTGCCATAGAAGCTCATTAGATTATTTTTGTAATGATATATGTGTCTTTTTTTCCGTCCCTATTAAATAAAAATTGAGGAACAATGTGGAAAGTTTCTTTTCTTTTTTTCCGATGCAAATAACCACTGATCATATGGAATATTTAGTTCATCAGGAGCAATGCATCCTGTAGCTAAAAGAATGTCCTTCTAGCAAAGCATCAACCTTTTCTCAGGGATTATGCTGCTGCCTTTTTTATATGCTGCTGTAATACAGGCTTATATGCTTTGCAAACCTAATTTCCTACTTCAAAGGAAACTTTCTGGGTCACATTTGCACTCTGTGAAATATTCAGCTGCGAATCCAAAGTTGAAAAGCAGGCCTTCGTTTCCTGACACCTTTAGTGTGGTTCCGCTGTTTCTCCGCCGCTCTGATATAAAACGGAACTGTGAGCTGATCCTGGATGTTTTCTCCCATCAGGCATGATGACTTGAAGGAGATGCTGGACAGCAACAAAGACTCCCTGAAGCTGGAGGCGATGAAGCGGATTGTGGCTGTGAGTGTGAATAAGGTTTACTTTGGGGTCACATGACACGCAGCACTTTAGATTTACTCTGTCTCACAATAATCTAAGTCGTCTGAATCCATCAAACACAGGAAGTCACACGAGGTAACCAGGATGTTAACATGACCAACCTGTCCATTCATGATCTGATTGTTTAATCCTAAACACAGCAGCCAACCTATAATTCACCACTGCAGGAAGATGAAAGGACACCAATACTATAATGAAATATATTTTCACAGAAACATAGAAACAGAGTCTAAAGAAATACTGATTCTTGTCTGTTTAAAATCAGTCATGCTGAATTTTTGATTTCTTCTTTTGTAAATTATTTCTGGCTTACCTTTGGGCACTTCTTCTCCAACCCCCACAAAGTGTGTCTTTTTTTTTTTAATCCAGTTTTTGATTAAAACACTGTAAACTTAACCTTTGTATTTACAGAAATGACCAAACAGTTAATGACTGCTGTACTTTGATCTGTCTCTTAGAAAATGTTTTAAAACTCAAACACTCCCATAAATTCCTCATTTAATCACATTTTATTTTTTTCTCCAGATGATTGCCCGGGGCAAAAACGCATCAGACCTTTTCCCCGCCGTGGTAAAAAACGTGGCGTGTAAAAACATTGAGGTTTGTTCCAGTTTAAGTTGGCCTCCATTTTGTTTGTTTTGCGTTTTCATCTTTAATTTTCCTGACTTGTAAGTTTTTTTCTGATCCAACAGCAGCTTTTCTTATCTAATTAATGAATGAATTACTTTTCAACTTTCCACTGTGACTTGAGCAGTTTGTTTCCCTCCTGCTTATTTCCAGGTGAAGAAGCTGGTCTATGTTTACTTGGTGCGTTATGCAGAAGAGCAGCAGGATCTTGCCCTTCTCTCAATTTCTACGTTCCAGCGTGGATTAAAGGTACGTTCAGCGTTTCTTTCCTGCTGTCAGGATGTTGCAGGTCTGTTGCATACATGCACAAATTGCAACACACTCACAGCTATTTCTTCATGGGTCCTAATGTGGAGCCTTGATGCATCCCATAAATAAGTGGGAAACAGCTTAGAAAAATCTGGAACTTTAGTCAGGTTAGAAATTAACCCAGTAGAGTATTTACCAGCAGAATCTTCAATAAGTGAGTTCATGCATGTTTTTATTTTTTTGCAGGATCCCAATCAGCTGATCAGAGCCAGCGCCCTGCGTGTCCTGTCCAGCATACGAGTTACCATTATTGTCCCCATAATGATGCTGGCCATCAAAGAAGCTGCTTCAGATATGTCTCCCTATGTCAGGAAGACTGCTGCCCATGCTATCCCCAAACTCTACAGGTGCTGCTCCACCTCAACAACAGAAATTAAGCAGAAATCCAAACTCGGTGCAACACCACCTTAGTGTGAAAAAAGTCCCTCACAAACCTACAGCTGCTGTGCCAATGAAATTCATCTGTGCTTCTTATACTTCAGTGTGATTTTTATCAATGTGTGAAGTTTTATTTTTTTTTCTTCTGATCTTAGTTTGGATCCTGAGCAAAAAGATCAGCTTATAGAAGTGATAGAGAAACTCCTGGCAGACAAAACTACTGTAAGTTTTTTGTTTACTTTACTTTTTTAGTTGTGCTGCCTTGATGTTTATGCTTAGTTTTTAAAAATAGAAAAAAGAAAAATAATAAAAATCACAGCCAGCAACAAAAACTCAACTGCTTTCCTGTTTGAATTTGCTTCGATGATTTGAACTTTGATTTGAACAAATTCTAAGGAAAATACTGGGTTGAAGGATTTCACCTCTTGCATGGCTTATATTTAGCCCTCATTATTACTAATATATGATTCTCTGCCGGTAAGAGTTTGGAAATATATTAAATATATATACCACAGCTGGTGGCTGGAAGCGTGGTGATGGCCTTTGAGGAGGTTTGCCCGGAGCGCATCGATCTGATCCACAAAAACTACAGGAAGCTGTGCAACCTGCTGATCGACGTGGAGGAGTGGGGGCAGGTCGTCATCATCAATATGTTGACCCGCTACGCAAGGACCCAGTTTCTCAACCCAAACGTCAATGTGAGAAACTAAATAATAATTATTAATATGCCATCTGAAATATTATATTTGTGTAGTAATTGTACAAAAGAAGAAAACCTTTGCTAAATAAACATTTACTCAACAGTGTAAAGCTAACCTCCTTACATGTTAATACCAACTTTTCTTTGCACTAAAATGTTTCGGATCATGAAAAAAGTTTATTATGAGGCAAAAATTAAATGACTGGAGAGTTTCTAAAAGTTTATTTAAGCTAAAGAAGTTTACAAACCTATAAATTTAAATTTAATAATTGGGCAGATGGCCGCTCACACTGAGCCTGGTTCTGTTGGAGGTTTCTTCCACTTAAAAGGGAGATTTTCCTCTCCACTGTCGCTACAAGCATGCTTAGTGTGAGTCGATGAGTCGATGCAATCAGCTGGTTTTCTTAGATGGAAAACTTTGAATTAATTTGACTGGATGATCTGGTGAGCTATAAATGACCTTGGTTGACATGTGTTGTGAATTGGTACTTATTTAAATAAACCAAGAGAGTTTTCCCTCCCTAACATCACTGCATGCAAACTCTGTGTGAGGGATTGCTGCAGAGTCAACAACACAATTGTGGTGATATTTACTGTCACCACAGGCTCATTCAGGAGAAGCAACTTCTGCAAAGTCGAGGCAATCAAAACACTTCTAAGCTATCTAAATATATGATTTGTTGGAATTAGTTTCCTAAGAACTGCCTTGAGATAACATGTTTCATACAGCTCTGCATTTTTCGTTTTTCATTTTGTGCTTTTGTGTGACATAAAATGCTAAAATGGAAGAACTGTATCTGGAAATCAGTTGCTTTAAAATAGTAAAACAACACGTTTCTGGTACATCCTACTGACTGCAGGAGACTCTGCTAGAGGAGGGAGGCGGTGGGGAGAAGACCTTCTATGGTTCAGACGAAGACGAGGATGAGGAAGATGAGGAGAAGGAGAAGAAAGCAGAGGCCGCAGCAATGGCCAAGAGGAAGCCGTACGTCATGGACCCCGACCACCGGCTACTGCTGAGGAACACCAAGCCTCTACTGCAGAGCCGCAACGCCGCTGTGAGACCTGCATGCACTCTGAGTGCCTTAAGCTGTAGCCTTCATGTTTTAGTCGCCTCCTTACGTCCACACACCTGATTTATATAGGATCAACTAACTGGCTGCTGAAGAGTCATGTGATTATTTAGATCACAGATTTTGAAACAGAGAGGTATCCAAATCATGTATGTGCTGTGGTACTACAAATACTTTGTTACCTTGCTTTGGTAGAAATTTTGCCTATCTATACTTTACTGGAGTAATTATTTTTTACTCCTACGCAGGGGCGTGCACACATAGACACTAGGTGGTGCTAAAGCACTAGGAAGTTTGCCCTCTATCAATGAAAATGCCCTTTTGAAACTCGTTTTTTTTATTATTATTATTATTAATATTATTAAGATTTTACTGAGGTCGGTTTTGAAACCATCTTTTGAAAACCTGAGCCATTAAAAACGACTGAAACAATGCCCCGAAATGACCGACCTACTTGCGCACAAACGACCAGCCTCTCTCACTTCCTTTGTCACGTGAACTCGCTCGGTCGCCCGCAGGGCATGCCAGATGCGCAGCATCATAGCAGTTTTCAGATAGCAGGAACGGCCGTTGACAGGCTGCTTTTCTCGTGTCCCAATAGCCAGGTAATATACAAATCAAGCAGAATCATTTTGTTGTGCATTAAAATGTCTCATTCAGCAGCACCAAACACGCATTTTGCCGACTGGTCACCAGATAAACTAGTTGTCTCCTTGTAAGATGCTATTTTACTTTTTATATTTTATATCTATATTTTTATCTTAAGGGTATATATTAGTCTATTCTATTGCATGACGTATACCCACAGTTTTTAGATATTTTTATAATTTTATTTACCTATTCCATATGATATGTTTCATGAATCATGTAGCACGATTGTACCATAAAAAATTCCTAGTTTGTGAACTCCTTCACTAACAATGGCAATAAACCTGATTCTGAAAGTTTTACACTGTAGCCCAAGTCAATGGCAGATAACGTGAGGACGACCACATAGGCTACAAATAATTTTGGTAGAGTTTGCAATTGCAAATACGGAAGAGGATTAGGGCCACTGAAAAAAAAAATAAAAATAAGTTAACTGATTTTTACATTTTATTTCAGTTTAGTATGGGAAAAAAGTCAGAATGCTGACTTTAATCTCATAATTCTAACTTTTTTCTCATAATTCTGACTTTTTGCTGAGAATTCTGACTTTTTGCTCAGTATTCTGACTTTAATCTCAGAATTCTGACAATAAAAAAGTCAGAATTCTGACTTTTTTCCCATGTTAAACTGAAATAAAATTTAAAAATCAGTTAACTTTTTTTTTTTTTTCAGTGGCCCTAATCCTCTTCTGTACAAATCTATGTGTTAAGACAAACGTTTTCTGTTGTATAGGTTTTGTTAGGCAACATAAATTAACACATTTTGGTCTCTTTATTGTCTTAATTGTATATTGATTTAGTAATTGCAGCACAATGCCAAGAAAGGAGGGTTAATCGTATTGAAAAATCTTAAAAGCTGTTCACATTTTATTTTTAAGTGGTTTGTGCAGCAGGTATTAAAATAGCTATTATTTTGTAGGCTACCATAAGTCATATCCACGTGACAAGACTTCCAGTCATGTTGCCCTAATAGCTCATTATTTAAACTAATGTGGCATATTTGTTAAAGCTATTATTATTATTATTATTATCATTATTATTATTATTATTATTGTCATGATGGTTATTATTAATATATTGTAGCCAGTCACAGCAGGGAAGCTCTATACCATCAACATATAACAGGACAGGAGATGAGGAAGAGTTCAGGGAAGACACAGAGACAGAAAAAGACCAGGATGAGGGAGAACAGATGGGTGAGGGAAAACAGGGAGATGAGCCAGATGAAAGAAGTATGCTTTAGTCTGTTCTGTTGGTGGTGTGACTTTTTTCCATTGAAAACTCACGTTTAGAGAATGTTACAAATAAAAGTCAAATTTCATTCAACATGCGTTTATTTTTTTTTATAATTAAGTGTTACACGTGCGCTAAAAAGTGCCCTCCCCCCCCTCCTGAGCACCTGCCCCCCAAAATGTCTGTGCACGCCTCTGCTCCTACGCCTTACATTTTTTTTTTTTTTTTACAATTATTTCTTCTTTCTACTCCTTACATTTTAAAAATAGTTTCTTTTTTTTTTTAGGCTCTTTTTCCTTATTACCGGTATTTAAAATGATAAAAACCATAAAAGTATTTAGTTTCATCCAGACAACTAATTTCCTTTTTGGATGGACTCGGTGCTGCACCAACATGTTGTTCGCCAAATACCAAAATAAATCGTTTTTCGAGATGATGCAAAGTTATCATCCTCAATTGTAGAAAAATCTTCGTTTAATAGGGCTGTGCAGTAACAGTATGGGGTTTAAAGTTTCTGTCTGAAACAGTTTTCTTTTTAAGTAGTTTTCCTGCGTTATTTTTACTTTTATACTTTAAGTACTTATAAAAATGTTACTTTTACACTTTTACGTGAGTAAAAAGCTTAATTTGATCCCCTAATTTCTAACAAGCATTTTTAAACAGTGCAATTTCTACTTCTAGTTGAATCATCAACTTTAATACTTTTAACACCTCTAATCCTCCATTTCAAGGATTTTGGAGCAGAGAACCATCTGAGATAATTTTCACCTATGAGGGAAATTGAAGATATTCTGAAAGACATTTTTTTAAAGTCTGGTTCACACTTTTTATTCCTTCTATTAGAGCGATAAAATAAAAGCATACACACACTTTTTATTATTCTGTGAACTTCAGACTTATCTTGAAATTTACTGACTAACAAATTATTAAAAATGTTGATTTGCTTTAATATCCATTTCTCTAGAAACAGTTGGTACATTTTATAGGACTGCTCTCCAGCTCCAAATGAGCAGGCTGTCAGACACCAGCTTGTTAAACACCTTAATCAGACATGTCTTGGAGAAGTAGCCATTTTATAAAGTCAGACTGCTGTGGAGGACTCCTCTGCTAACAGCAGAAATATAGATATTTTTTTACTGAATGCATCCACAGACTATTCATTCCTTTCTTAAACCTTAGAGCAGAATACAGAAAACAAAACAGGGATGTCTGATTAACACATTTGCTATGTAAACCAGACATTTTCCACATCACAGGAAACAGAACTGTAAAAAAAAAAGCCAGTGCTTGTTTCCAATTCAGATACGTAGATGGAGGCAAAATCAACCAGCTGGAAAAGGATTATTATTGTTCACATAACCTTCTTGTTTATTCCAGGTGGTGATGGCCGTGGCTCAGTTGTATTTCCATCTGGCCCCGAAAGCAGAAGTGGGTGTGATTGCCAAAGCATTGGTCCGTCTGCTTAGGAGCCACAGGTGAGCTCTCTATAGTTCTCCATTCAGAAAAGATACGGGATGCGGTTAAAAGCACACAACCCTCATACATATTACACATTACATATTACAGTCCTCTTTCCGGCTGTCACAGCTTCCAGCACCTTTGCCTTTCCCCCTTCTCGACCCCCATTTCCTGTCTGCCTAAATAAAGGCCACTAGAGCCTAAAACTAATTAAAAAAAAGAGAAAATCCTGCATATAATCAAGCTAGTCATTTATATCCAATTATTTTAATGAATAAACTGCATAGCGCAAAAGCATTCACACCACTTTTGCTGTTTTGGCCACGTTATTTCATGGTGATTTAATGGTTTTTAATAGACGGACCAACAGGTGTTATATGTTGGATTTTAACACAGTGAAGTTGATCTGTTGAAAAAATTGATCTGTCCATTTTTATTTATTGGCACTTTTTAAAATCCTCTTTTTTTCCCTCGATTGCAGCTTCAACCTTTCTAGGGTATGCCAGGACCAACTTTGCACATCTGAAGATTGAAACTGTTGCTTTTTTTTTGCAAAGTTGCTAAAGATAATTCAGATGTGATGGAGAGTGCATGTGAGCATCGATTCAATCAAAGTTTTGCAACAGATTCTTAATTGCTTTCAGTCTAAACTTTGAAGGGACCATTCTACCACATAACTATGATCGATGTGAGGTATTCCATTCTCCCTCTGGTTGCACCTTTAGCCTTGTTGTGTTAATTTGGTTTCAGTTTTCTCTGCAATTCAAGTCCTTTTGATTCAGTTTATTTATATAGCGCCAATTCACAACACATGTCATCTTAAGGCACTTTACAGTTCACCAGATCATCATGTCAGATTGATTCAAAGTTTTCTATCTAAGGAAAACCAGTTGATTGCATCGACTCTTCAGCAATCTCTCACACTAAGCATGCTTGTAGCGACAGTGGAGAGGAAAAACTCCCTTTTAACAGGAAGAAACCTCCAGCAGAACCAGGCTCAGCGTGAGCGGCCATCTGCTGAGGCCGACTGGGGTTTAAGAATCTATTTGTTCTTTATTTTTTCAGTTTGCTCAGTGTTTAGCTCCATCTATCGTCCCTTCAACTTTGACTAAGTTTCCTCTATTCTCCTAAGGAAATTATCCCTCCAGCTTGATGCAGCCATGACCATGTTTCACAGCTGTAATGGTGTTTTCAGGATCATGAGTTTGAATTGGGGTATAAGTCATCGACTATTGAAATAATCTAAAGTTAAATTAAACACAATTCAGTTTATTTATATAGCGCCAATTCACAAGACATGTCATCTCAAGGCACTTTACAGTTCAACCAGATCGTACAGTCTAATTGATTCAAAGTTTTCTATCTAAGGACAATCGACACTGGGTCGACTCATTGACTCAAAGGCAATCCCTCAAACTAAATGATCTTATCAGTCACCTAAAGATTAATGATAAGCAGTTATTTTCTTAAAAACCAGATTTTTCTTTTGTGTCCAGAGGATCATTTCATTATAAGAAGGGCTAAATTATTTTTTTCAAAATCCTGTATCAAAAACTTGTGCATTAATTTACCAATTAATTTTACTAGCTTTATTAGATACTTCATTAAACTAATTCATAAAATATAACAGAAGAGGAATCTGTTAGGCGACTGAAAAAAATATGAATACAATTTGTTACACACCCTTTCCAATGAACAGGGATGTAAAACTATAATTTAAAGACATGGTATGTTGCCCTTACATACTGTATATTTGGGGTATTTGTCTTTTTAGCCTCTTTGCTCCTTTTCCATTGGCAAAAAAAGCTGGTCTAACCCCTCATTGGAAAACTGCATGGCCTCTGTCTATGATCTATCGATGATCTATGGCTTCATGTCTGGTGACACCATCCCGCTGGGTTAGCCTTGGTTACTCACAAGTAAGACAGAAATCAGGAAAGTAAACAATGGAAAGCAACATGTAAGGAAGCCAGGGCGTAGTCAGTGTGCTCTATTGTTTCTCTATTTTTTCCCTCTGAAATTCAACCACAGAGAGTTGTTTCTGCTTCTTAGATGAGAAGCAAATGGTGTTGCGTTCAATGGTGTTACGCAATTTAACATGCTGATGAGAGGCGAGGTGATATTAACGCAGGTCGCTTGATATGATACGCTTCAGTGAGCTGTTCCCACTGCCACTAAAAGCTGATTGTTCCCAGGATCAAACGGGTTCTTCGGCCACTGGAAAAAGGGTGTTTGTTTCAGTGAAGTGAACGCTAACTGTGACATAGCACCCTGCATAAGTATAACCCAGCAACAGTGCTGGGAGACTTTGTGCTGCAATCAGCACCTTTAAATGGGGGGGGGTTCTGGTTGCTCTCAGAGAAATGTCAAAACTTGGCTCCATGAAGTGCGTTAACACACACAAAAGCCTTCCCAATCTAATTGCTAGCATGTATTTTTCTATCATGTCACAAACATTTTTCCTAATGCCCTCCATGTTTCTGTCATCAAATCCTCATCATCAGAGCCCAGCAGGGAAGTCAACGCACGGCTAAGTAGAAGCTATTTAGGTGCTAACTTAAAGAGTTGATAGAGTGTTTATATTTACCAAATGAAACGTATAAAGTGTGTTCTGCATCCTTGTCACCATTAAACAGAATCAAGTTTATTGCCAAGTAGGTTTTCACTTACATTTGACTTGGTGTTGATGGTGCAGATAAATTAGATATATTTACAGAATACAGAATCTATAGCTATATACCAGGGGTTGCCAGCCCAAACTGCTCAAAGAGGACCAAAAATAACCAAATCTGTCTGAAGCTGCAAAAATGTAAATGTCTTATATAAGCCTCATATGGCAACACGGGCTCTAAGTGTATTAGCCCCTGTATTTATTATACAAATGTTTCCAGCATTGGAAAACATAAAGAATGTTTATTTGACCTCCGGCACACCATATTAATATAAACAAACAAAAAAATCAATGTTCATATATTTTTGATAAAGCTCCAGGGTTGTTCCAAATGAGCTGCATGCAGCTTTGGAGTTGCGAGTTGCTGACCCGTGCTATATAGACCTACAATATAAAACATACAATATACTACATACAATATATAGTATATAGCTATATAGTATATACACAGTAGACTGTACGTCAATGTAACGCAGGAGGTCTAGAGATGCTACGTTGGTGTAGCTTGTAGTTCTGGATCCATTCATGTTGGTGTTCTTCCTCGCCTCTGCTCCTGTATTACTTCTGCTGCAAATAGGCTCAGCTTAAAAATGAACAGAGACTCCCTTTATTCAACATCAGTATCATTACAACCGTGAAAAAAAATCCTCTGGAGCAGACATTATCAGTTATTCAAATGGAAGAAATGATAAACTAATAATTACTAGACAATTCTTTGTAAATTGACCATTTGTTAACTTCCCTAGCTTCCAGAAAAGTCTGACATTTTTGTGCCTTTTATATTTCAGTTCTCATAATGTTTTTTGCAACAATGCCTTCCCTTTCACCACTCCTCCATACAGCTTAGTTTTGACACGTATCAGCAGATTGTCTCACTTGATCCGTGCAGCTCCTCCAGGGTCCCTGTGAGTCAATGAGTCGATGCAATCAACTGGTTTTCCTTAGATAGAAAACTTTGAATCAATTTGACTGGATGATCTGGTTGAACTGGAAAGTGCCTTGAGGTGACATGTGTTGTGAATTTGGCGCTATATAAATAAATTGAATTGAAAACTGAATTGAAATGTGATGTTTGCTCTCATTTCACAAAACTGTGATTCCTTTTGCAAGTAACTGACAAAAAGGTGAATCATAAAGAAAACAGTGAAGAGCTTCACAAGAGAATATAAAGCTTGAAACCCTCTAAAGCAGTAAACCCTCTAAAGCAGAAGACAACAGAAAAATAAGAAAAGGAAGGAAGGAAGAATAAATCAGTTTGGCCCCAAAGCAGCAAAGAGAAATGAACAGGAACCATAAACCATGCAGAGAGATGACAGCACATAGGCAGCCTCTGGGCTGTAAGTCTGTCAAGCTTCTTATTAAGCAAATGGTTCTGGGTTAAATTGAGTCATCATTCAACAAGATTTATTTCAACTGCATTTCTGTGTCAGAAATTCACTGAACTGGACAATAGGATTGTATTTAACTCCATTCTGCAGGATGTCTTCAGTCTGAGATTTTATAGTAACATGTTTAAGTACATTAAATTATTAACGGTAAGGTTAATATGTGGATAAAAACGAAGATGTGTAAATTAAACAGCTTTTTGGAATGTATAGGAATACTTCTTTTAGGATATTTTTCTCCCTGATAGCAATCTAAAGATATTTTCCTTTTTTAAAGGAAATCCCTTTTTAAAGATGATACCTGTTTTAAAACTTAGAGGCTTTACAGCACATTTAGATAGCAGAATAAATGTAACAAATGCAGATTCTTGGACACAATATTCAGCAGACAAACAGGACAGTTTGAAACAAGTTTATTTTTTAAAAGAAAAAAAGAGCGGCAGAACTTGTTCAGGGCGGGTTATCGGATTCTCTGGTTAAGAGTTCAGTCCAATCTAGAGATTTAGGAGGAACCTGGGGGGGAGATTGCCCGCCACTGTGGTCGTTACCGCTTCAGAGCAGAGAGGTCAGGGGAGCTGATGCTAGGCGACGCCGAGCAAGCAACAGTGTCTGTCAGGGATTATCCAAAGCCTAAGAACAGTCCAAACCAGTTTCACAAACCAGAAGATTAGAGAGCTGAAAAGGTATCCAATGAGAATCCAAGCTGAGGTTAGTTGTCTGGTAACCAGCAGAATCCAGGAAGCCAGTCCAAAAATCAAACTGAACAGAGCAGACAGGAAACAGGCAAAAAAAAAAATAATTATCAAGAGGCAGAAAGGGGTCAGCATTAAAAATGTTAAAACACTTACTTTAACCCTAGAGTTACTGTCACCGAAACAGCTACAATAATCCGGTGCTAATGGCAGGCAAGCAAACAGCATAAATAGCTGCGGGAACCAGGTGAGAAAGATCTGCGGTAATCAGCCGAGGGGCCGATTAGACAGGTGAGCAGGGGCAGGTGAAAAAAGCCAACCATCAGTGCTAGGATTATGACAATAAATGTCTTTTAGCCTAATTACAATAGTGTTCATCTATGTTTATTACTGTTTTCCTCACATCAACAGATATGCTGTTGCAGCAGAGTCCCTGAAAGAGCCTTGAATTTACAGATTTGACACTTAAAGCTTCTGACTTCAATTAACTGATTTCTTTCTGTTGATGTTGTCATGCTGAGCTCTCTGCTGAAATGTTAGGCTAACTTAACTTTAACCTCTGTGTTTTAATAAGACTTGTTGGTAGAGAACATTAAAGTGCATTTCCAGTGAAGTACGTGGAACTCTGGCAGACAGAAAGCGAAAGTCATCATAAATGTTGAAAAATGCTTTGATTATTAATTAAAAACCAGATGTATTAAAAAATTAAAAAAAATTTGTGCATGGCCTAGAATACAGTTCATTACATTTAAATATGCATGTATATGTACCATTCATTATAGCATTTCTTTACCTACTTTAATTATATCAGCTGATCTTGGTGCATCACTAGAGGAGTTTCGTTCAAAGAGTTTTGGACAGGGCCGTCTCTCAAACATGTTTTTGTTTAAAAACTGAACTTGAAGGAACCAGTTCGAGCTGCATGCTGTTTGAATCATCCTTCCAGACATGTTTTATCCTTATTTGCAAAATGTAAATCTCTGCTGTAAACCCTATTGCATTCATTTAATCTAAACTTCACAAAAGGTTTTTAGATCCTATAAGCTCTACGTTGATTGCTAAGAAGTTGGCAATGCTAATGGCTCTTCATTCTCCTTTTTGAAGCTGTGGATTTCCAGCGTGATAATGTCGCTGTTTTAGTTCTACCAAGGGATGAAAGTACTGCACATCATTAACGTCCACCTCTCTGATTTTTTGTTCCATCAGTGAAGTCCAGTACGTAGTTCTTCAGAATGTGGCAACCATGACCATTAAAAGGCGGGTAAGTCTCACTTGTCGCTCCAAACTTACTTTGCCTTTTTATTTTTAATTTATTTGAAACTCTGACACATCTAGGATTTTCTTGGTGTGTGCCTTGCAGGGCATGTTTGAACCATACCTGAAGAGCTTCTACATCCGCTCCACAGACCCAACTCAGATAAAAATCCTAAAGGTTCCTCCCTGTCCCCCTCAACCTGTAAACCCAAAGAATCTATTAGAATTCAGCCTTGAAACCCATTTTATTGTTGTTTATTTGACAGCTGGAGGTCCTTACAAATCTGGCCAATGAGACAAACATTTCCACCATCCTCAGGGAATTTCAGGTAACCTAATACTAGTAGTAACAGTTTAGTAACAATGTTCTTAGGGATGCACAAACAACAACCTTGTTTAACATGTTTCTCACAGACTTACATTAAAAGTATGGACAAAGATTTCGTGGCTGCAACAATTCAGGCTATCGGTCGCTGTGCCACCAACATCGGAGAAGTCAGAGACACATGTTTGAACGGTCTGGTGCAGCTGCTGTCCAATCGAGATGGTAAGAGTTAAGAGATCAAACGCCTTCTAAAGTGGTATGTTCTGCAGAAAACAGGATAATAAAGTATTACTTTACTTTAAACAGATTTTATTACTACTTTTATTCTTACTTTATTTATTGCTATGTTACTTTCACGTCAGTAACATAGGACACAATATATTTGTAAATCTAAAAGAACAGGTTGAAGTACAATAAATGTTAATTATTTATAGGTACCATAGATTCAGGCTCTGAATGTCGGTAACATATTTTGAGACTTTAGTTATTTGACTCAACTGAAAAATGTTTTTAAAGGGAAAAGAGTTTGGTGGTGAAGTAATTTACCAAACACATTGTCTCAAAAAGCAGCTTTTTCAAAGAAAGAGAAACAGTAACACATTTATACTATTAGGCTGCTTCTCTATGACAAACCCTATTACATAAAGGTTATAACATGTTTTCCAAATATGGTACAGTCCTGAGATAAATAGCAAACCTACCCAGGTAAGAGTCTAAGTTTTAATATTAGTTTTCCTCCTCTGATGCAAATGTTTGACTTGTCTTGTTGTAAAGAGCTGGTGGTAGCCGAGTCAGTGGTTGTCATCAAGAAGCTGCTACAGATGCAGCCAGAAAAGCACAGCGACATCATCAAGCACATGGCCAAACTCACCGACAACATCCAGGCAAGTCACTCTGCCTTTTGCTTGTGCATCCCCTTTGTCAGCATAGCTTAAAGCTCTGCTTCACAGATAGATATCTCTGTTTTCCAGGTTCCGATGGCCCGAGCCAGTATCCTGTGGCTGATTGGAGAATACTGTGAGCACGTGCCAAAGATCGCTCCAGATGTCTTGAGGAAGATGGCCAAGTCGTTTACCAATGAAGAGGACATTGTGAAGCTACAGATCCTAAATCTGGCTGCAAAGCTCTATCTCACCAACTCTAAACAGGTAGAGATACTCACATCCAAAGAACTAGACTTTCTGGATCTATGTAGATCTAGTTCAGGCCACTGTTCGGAATCCTACATTACAAAGTAATTCAAATCTATCCGCGATTGTACCTGAGGTAGTCATGGAATCTGAACCGGGTTTAGACTGCTTTGATCCAGTTGAACTCTCTGAATTAGCAAAATTATTGTCTTCATCTAAGCCTTCAACTTGTATGTTAGATCCAGTTCCAACCAGGTTATTTAAGGAGGTATTCCCTTTGAACTCCTCCTCCATTTTAGATGTGATTAATCTATCTCTGTTACAGGGATATGTACCTAAAGCTTTTAAGATTGCTGTAATTAAACCTCTGCTTAAGAAACCGTCTCTTGACCCAGATGACTTGGTCAATTATAGACCTATATCCAATCTTCCTTTCTTATCCAAAATTCTTGAGAAAGTAGTTGCCAAACAAGTTTGCGATCACTTCCACCATAATGAACTTTTTGAAGAGTTTCAGTCTGGCTTTAGAGCTCATCATAGCACTGAAACAGCTCTGGTGAAAGTCACTAATGATATTCTCATGCATGGCCTCAGATAATGGACTTGTATCTGTGCTCGTCCTGTTGGATCTTAGTGCTGCATTTGATACAGTTGACCATAATATTCTTTTAGAAAGAATTGAATATTTTGTTGGAATTAAAGGAACAGCACTAGACTGGTTTAAATCTTATCTATCTGATCGAATTCAGTTTGTTCATGTTAATGATAGATCTTCAACACGCTCAAAGGTTACCTGTGGAGTACCACAGGGATCAGTGCTAGGACCAATTCTCTTTACTTTATACATGCTCCCAATTGGTAGAATTATTAGACAGCATGGGATTAATTTCCACTGTTATGCTGATGATACCCAGCTATATCTGTCTATAAAACCAGATGAAGCTAACCCATTACATAGATTACAGGCATGTCTTGAAGACATAAAAACCTGGATGACTCTTAATTTTCTGCTTCTGAATGCAGACAAAACAGAAGTTATAGTCTTTGGACCAGAGTCTCTGAAAAAGAAACTGATTAGCCAGTCACTTCATTTGGATGGGATTAAACTGATTTCAGATAATAAAGTAAAAAATCTTGGTGTTATTTTTGATCAGGACCTGTCATTTAAATCCCATATCAAAGAGGTTTCTAGAATTTCCTTCTTTCATCTGAGGAACATTGCAAAAATTAGAAATATCCTGTCCAGGGGTGATGCTGAGAAACTAGTCCATGCATTTGTTACTTCAAGGCTGGACTATTGTAATTCTTTACTATCAGGAAGTCCACAAACTGTAGTTAAAAGCCTTCAGCTGATCCAAAATGCTGCAGCCAGAGTTCTAATGAAAATGAAAAAGAGAGATCATATCTCTCCTATCCTGGCTTCTCTTCATTGGCTTCCTGTTAAATCAAGAATAGAATTTAAAATCCTCCTTCTCACATATAAAGCCTTAAATGGCCAAGCTCCATCTGATATCAGAGATCTGATTGTTCCTTATGTTCCTAACAGAGCACTTCGCTCTCAATCTGCAGGTTTACTAGTGGTTCCTAGAATTTCTAAAAGTAGAATGGGAGGCAGATCTTTTAGTTATCAGGCTCCTCTCCTGTGGAACCAACTACCAGTTTTAGTCCGTGAGGCAGACACCCTGTCTACTTTTAAGGCTAGGCTTAAAACTTTCATTTTTGATAAAGCTTATAGTTAGGGTGGCTCAGGTTATCCTGAGCTATCTCTATAGTTATGCTGCTATAGGCTTAGACTTTTGGAGGACATAGGGACCCCCATTTCATCATTCTGCTTCATTCTCTCTCTGTTCTCCTATTCTGCAGAATCTGTTAGTTCAATCTCTAACCTTCTGCTCTCTCTGCTTTTCCTCAGAGTAGCTTTGCCTCGTCTGTTCCTGTTTGGCTGTGACGTCATCCTGGAAAAAAAACATCAGCTGTGCTGCTTCTATCAACACCCTTGTTAATAGATGTTGGAGATCGGCCTGTTTTCCAGTGTGGTCCTGTTTCTCTGACCGTGACTGAGTGGATGTGCTCTCTTCGTCCTCTGGCATGGGAGCTGCCTTGGAGCTCGTCTGCCTGGCTGTGTGTTTCCTGGACGGGGCCGCCTTTTACAGCTGCTTTTTGTATCTCTGCTTCTGTCTCCTTGAACCCCAGTCGGCCTCGGCAGATGGCCGCTCACACTGAGCCTGGTTCTGCTGGAGGTTTCTTCCTGTTAAAAGGGAGTTTTTCCTCTCCACTGTCGCTACAAGCATGCTTAGTGTGGGGGATTGTATTTGAGTCAATGAGTCAATGCAATCAACTGGTTTTCCTTAGATAGAAAACTTTGTATCAATTTGACTGTATGATCTGGTTGAACTGTAAAGTGCCTTGAGATGACATGTGTTGTGAATTTGGCGCTATATAAATAAACTGAATTGAATTTAATTAAATTCAGTTTATTTATATAGCGCCAGATTCACAACACATGCCATCTCAAGGCACTTTACATTTCAACCAGATCATCCAGTCAAATTGATTCAAAGTTTTCTATCTAAGGAAAACCAGTTGATTGCATCGACTCATTGACTCAAATACAATCCCTCACACTCAGTATGCTTGTAGCGAGTAAGGAAAAGCAGAGAGAGCATAACGTTAGAGATTGAACTAACAGATTCTGCAGAATAGGAGAATAGAGAGAGAATGAAGCAGAATGATGAAATGGGGGTTCCTATGTCCTCCAGCAGTCTAAGCCTATAGCAGCATAACTATAGAGATAGCTCAGGATAACCTGAGCCACTCTAACTATAAGCTTTATCAAAAAGGAAAGTAACTAGTGGGAAGTAACTTCTCCCAAAAAGTAACTGATTGCTGTACAATCAAAGTATTTAAGTAGTTACTAGGCAAAGTAGCTACTCAGTTACATTTTATAATCTAAAATGAAGCATCAGCTCCCTTTGGATGCTACTATGACCTTGATTATAAAACACAACACAAACACAAAGAACAATTAATGAATTATATTCTGAAATAAAATAATGTCAGACATTATACACCCATCTAAATCATTTTAGTGTCTGTTTAAAGGACAAGTGAATAAAGTGATAAAAGAGCCATAAAACAAACTACATGCTTTAGGACTTGATGTTTATGCTCATTAACCAGCTGTGATTGGGTACTAAAAAGTTTAACACTGAGAAACTATGCCTTTCAAGCAATACAACAAAAACAGAGTAAACTTTGTCATAAAACTAACGATTGCAGACAAACTAGGAGACTTTGTTCCCATTATTTCAATGTTTTTAAAGGGGTTTGGTGTCGGAATTACTGTCATTTAGTGGTGAGATGGCGGTTTTTCCGCTCGAACGAATACTACGCCCTAGCATGTCACTGCCTCAAAGACATACTGTGGCAACGGTGGCCTCTGTGTGTCAAAAAGCCTCAACCATGAAGATGTAGCCATCTCAGCCAGCTCTCCTCTTTCTTCTCTCTTCCCTCAGACTAAATTGTTGACGCAGTACGTTCTCAACTTGGCCAAGTACGACCAGAACTATGACATCCGTGATCGGGCGCGGTTCATTCGGCAGCTCATAGTGCCCATTGAGAAGAGCGGAGCTCTCAGCAAGTATGCCAAGAAGCTTTTCCTGGCTCTGAAACCTGCACCTGTGCTCGAGTCTCCATTTAAAGGTACGGTAGTCTTTTCTTTTAATACAATTAAAGTCCTTCTACATATTTCAAGATGGATTTTATTTTTTGAACCTGGGGTTTACTCAGTGTACTTAAGGCTCTTTTAATATACATAATATATATGATCAAAACCACAAATTTATTCCATAAATGTATGAAAAAGTGCTTTAAAAGATAAAAGCAGATTTAATTGGTTTGCCATACCAATTATTTTAATTTCAGCAATCCTTGCATTGGCACACTACAGCGACAACAGGGGCCAGTTTTTCATTCTTTGTTCCACTGGCAAAAGAAAATGATGAACCTTTGTACGTACCTGCTGATAATAATTAATGATTAATTTAATATTTTTTTATACTCTGTGATTTCCCAGATAGAGACCACTTCCAGTTGGGTTCCCTTTCCCACCTGCTGAATGCCAAAGCTGGGGGCTACCAGGAGCTGCCTGACTGGCCCGAATCCGCCCCCGACCCCTCCGTGCGCAACGTGGAGGTGAAGGAGTCTGTGCGTGCAGTGGAAGCAGTAACTTACAGAGACACAGGGGCCCTCTGGGTTCTCCGGGTGCCCCTGCACACAGAGGAGAGCGAGGGCTGCTCCTTTTCCAGAGCAGTGACTCAGAGGGGTTGGATGCCAGAGCTTCACATCCAAAACAATCTAAACTCCAATACATCACAGATTCCTCTATTACTGACCATCATTCATTCATTTACAGATCATCACCATCAACATGCATCCTTTGGGTCTCCATTTGCTATCCAGACAGATGTAGCTTAATAGCTTTTCTTCCATAGAAGAGAAGAAATCACACAAAGAAATCAGGAGTCTATTAAGAGTCTATGTAGAAATCAGTCAGTGATTGAGCTCCACTCATCCTCTCTGCTGCACTCGCCTCTGTGGGGCAGCAGCTCCTTGCCTCATCCACACATCATCTCTCACAGCTGTTTGTATCAGTGTGATACAGAGGGGAGCAGACTTTGGTTCTCAACTAAGTGTTGTTCTGATTGACATTTTCTTTTTATTTTACCATTACTAAAGATAGGCTGGGCTGGCCAGACATTCTCACCATTTAACCCCCTTTCATGTTTTTAGATAAAGCTATAATATGAATACGGAAAAATTGTATCGCTTGTATTTAGCAATGCAGATTTTTCAATTCAGTTACATTTAGTTTATTAATATATTGCTAAATCACAACACATGTCATCTCAAGGCACTTCACAGAGACAATTTAACCAGACCATCCAGTCAGATTGATTCAAAGTTTTCTACCTAAAGAAAAAACAGTTGATTGCATCGACTCATTGACTCTACAGAGATCCCTCACACCAAACATGCTTGTAGCGACAGTGGACAGGAAAACTCCCTTTAAACAGGAAGAAATGTGCAGCAGATCCAGAACCAGGCTCAGTGTGAGCAGCCTCGCAGACTAAAACTATTGGGCTCCATGGGAGAGGATCCTGATAACTGAAAGATCTGCCTCCCATTCCATTTTTGGGGGGATTTTTAGAAACAATAGTTCCGATTGCTGCTATTAAAATATAATGTAGCAATTTAATTTTAATATAAACTAGTGTTGCACCGATACCGATACCAGTATCGGACGGGGCCCCAATACAGCCCTAAAATGGTGGTATCGGTATCGGCGAGTACCAACTAATAGGCCACCGATACCATTTTGAGAGCCATAAGTTTATTCAACTATTGTCACCCACTCCTGGTAGGTAATAAAAAGTTCTACTGGATTCACTTTGTAATAGATTTTTTCCTGCTTCACAAAGGTAGGCAGCAGCTTGACAAAGCCATGATGGCAATTATTTTACATTATTATGGTATCGGTATCGGCCGATACTGCACAGCCAGGTATCGGGGCCAAAAAATGGCATCGGCGCAACACTAATATAAACCAATTATCTGTAATATTTCTATATAAAACTTTAGTCAAAATACAGACACAGCTACTAAATGATAGTTATCACCCTTCTGTTGCATTGGGTGTTAATCCATTTAATCTGTTAGATTGGTTGCTAGCCTGCCGTCTGCTGGTTTACAGACGTGCTGCACATAGCTTGTCAGCTATAGTTTTAAAGCAGGGTTAGTTAACTTTGATGGATGCTGCTCAGTTTTGGGTCAGCTGCTTCTTTACCATTTCATTTTGAAAATTAATATTTTTTTCGATTTATTTCTGTAACCTTCTATACACTTTAGAGTTATTACTTTAAATGACTTGTATAAAGATAACATTTTATTCCCATTTATTGTTGTTCTAATCCAGATTTCTCCTACTTCACTCATAAAAAATGACAGATTGTGACCCCATATCAAACCATAGTGAGTCAAAGTGACCTTAGAAGATCTTATTTTGGAAAATCCCCTTAATCATCTGTTACCAAAACAGGTAAAAATTTAACACTGGTCGGTATAAAATGGACCGGGGTGAACAGCATGATTTGTACCAAAGTCTCTCCTCTTCTGCTCCATCCCATTCCCTCCATGTATCTCCACTGCTACAGTGTGTTATAACTTGGCATAACGTAAGGTCACCAAACGCTTGGTTGTACATTCACACAGGTAGTTAATATGGCATTGCTGGGAAACTTTTCAACTGATTTAATGCTATGGGAATGAAGATATTTATTTTAAAATTCCACTCTGCTTAATTAGTTGGCATTACAATGCATTCAGGGCTTGATCTTCCAAATAAGTTAAATTAAACCTTGAGAGACTCAGACAGAGAAAAACTGCGAAAAGTTTTATTGTTATGAAGGAAATAAGTTATTTGGTGTTCAGGCCCTGGCAGAGGAGTTTAATGCTGTGAATTAACATTTGCTTGGATGAGTAATCTTGGTAAACAATTAGAGTAATCTTCTCCTTTGGGGCCGGTGTGGTGGTGGAATAAGGACGAGGATGAATGAGACTGAAAATAGCCTGAGAGTGAGGGAGCAGATGGGGCAGGGCTGGGTGAAAGTTAGCTGGCGTGCTTCGTAGGAGGTGCACTCCTGACATTGTTTGGCTGGTCCATTTAGCTAAATTGCACATGCAATTTTATTTTTTATAATATGCTTTAAATCAAAGTGTTGTGGAGATCTACAAAGACTGTTGGTCAGATGTTAAGACGTGTAAAAAGAGTTTGTTCTGCCCCTTAAATTGCACCGATTGCATGTTCTACTGCTGGGCGTAAAAGATGGATGACGTTCAAAGCCATGAAGATAATAACATTTAAAGTTCACCTCTTAGCCTATCTTAAAATGCCATTAACGAAAGTGAAAGAAAATTAAGCAACGCATATGCTGTGCACAGTTCTGCTTTTTTAAAACATGGAGAAAAATATGTTTATTTTTTTTTATTAAATAAAAATAATGTTATATATTATTTTCATAAGCATGCCACAATAATTAAGTTTAGTAATTTTTTTCCGATGTGGTTAATTAACAATATAAAGAGTGTCTGCCTCCTGCTGCAGTAGTCTTTGCTGGACATCTACAGCTTTGTTGTAGATGTTTTTTTTCTTTAACAATATTATACTGCTGTAGTTATTTTTGACATAATCAAAGGATATCGCTTCATCCTCTAGCATTGTACCAATGCTTCCTCTTTGGCAACAATGATTGGCAGATATTTTTATGTGTCAGTTTGCACCTGACTTTAAAAAGTGCAAAAAAAGACAAAAATTGCAGCCTTTAAAATAAATTGCTTTGCAAATGGTATTAATATATATATTTGTATATCGTAAACCTATGAAATTGCAAGGTTATTTTTCCATTAGATTTTCCATACGATCTGCATAAGACACAAAAAAATGTCTGCAGAAGCTGCCTACTGAACTTTACATGCAAATGTAGGTGCAAAGATCTGCTCTGCACCTACAAACGTTTGCACCTTTTATAAGACCTGCAAACCTTCTGATATCAGCACCTTCGGTTTGTTTTTAATTAACATAGATCTTCTCATTGTCAGATATGCCCTCAGAGGAATGAAAGGAAATAGCTGCTACTTGCAGGAACCTTTGAAAACCTCATATATATTTGCCTCCACAACAAAGTGTAATCTGTTGCCAGCCATGTTTTTGTTTCTCTACATGAATCATCCAGCAAATAATTCTTCTAAATAATAGGAAAGAAATACCTATTTTCTTAATAATAAAACTGTGATAAAATGTCCCTATTTAGTTGTATTTCGCTGAATTGTAGAGTTATTTTTAGAAAAAATAATACTCAACTTTAAATCCGCTTTAATGTTGGATTTTGAGTAATATATTCAGAATCATACTTGTAGGCCTAAATGTGTTTATAAAAAACAAAATTTCAATGATGGTTTGTTAGGCAGCTTGTTTCAATCAACAAGCAGGCAGGATGCTGGCTGGAGGTTTAACCATTAAAAATTGTTGGAATTTGTTTAAAGTGTACGGTTTCTTTACCTGACCACAATTTTCAGTACAGCACATTTATTTCCTTTAAAATGTTAGAAACAACCAGACCTGTTTTAGACAATCCTCAAAACCAATCTCCATTGCTTGTTTATGATCGCTGCTCTGCTGGAACATCCAGCTGTGTCCAAGTATGACCCAAACTGCCAAGCACAGCTGAAAGGGAAGCTTGTTAGGATGGAAACTAGCCAGGCTCCTGCCTACCATGAAGTCAAAATCACTGGACCAACAGAGCAGGTTCTCAGGTCCTGAAGAGTCACTGTGATAGAGCTATGAAATGCTTCACTGCAGCGACACATCTGAATCAAATAACTAAATAATCTCCTCACTTTGCAATAAAATATTGCAGTGGCATGGTAACATGCCTTTCATTTGATTCAAGAGTTTCTGAACAGGGATATTTCTAAAAGATGTAGGAGCTTTTAAGTAATGGAGTTTGGGTTTTATGGCTTAGAGTAGAGGTCTTCAATGCTTTTAGTTTGGACCAATCGATGTGTTTCTGGACATGGTGCAAGAAAGAAAATACAGGAAATATGCTAGAAAAGAAAATGTGAGTCTTCAACAAACATTGTTGTTACTGTCAAGGCATTAGTAGTGGCAAAATCATACTATGGGTCGTTTTTAAATGCCATTGCTGCTGAATACAGAAAGAGGATAGTATAATGACGGATTCAACATTCCCTCATAACAAGCAAGCATTCAAACGGGACATTTGCTTTCAAAAATTCCCTGAAAACATTTCCTGGAATGGATAAAGCTTTCTAGGCAAGCATCAGGGAAGTGTACCTTACTAAAACCTTTGAGCCATTGCAAATTTGAGAAGTACCTAAACATCCAGGATGCAGGCAAGGTGCAACTTTCTAAGGGGGGAAACAGTACAGGTGGATATATACATTTGAACATCTTTATACACCAGAGTCTGGAACGTGTTTTGGGTCCTGATGCTCCTGACCTCAGCCTCACTCCACTTCTTGTTAAACTCCCTTTAATTAATGAAAGGGTTGCCTTCTTGACAATCCTCTGGAGGCCCCGGTTATCCCATCATTTCTGTTAGTTTCATATAGAGCTAATATGCAACGTGTGTCATCTCAAGGCACTTTTTAATTAAAAGAATTCAACCCAACTCAGTTCAAACTCTTTTCACCTTCAAGCTTACAGATTCCAAGTCAGTTACATATGTTGCAATCTGAATGAGAAATCTAATCTAATCTGGATCTTAACAGTATAGACAGTGTCAACATCAGAAACAAGGCATCCACAGCACAAAGCTGACCCTGGTAGGACTCAACTCAGGAGTTCCTTAATGCAATTCAACTATGCTAACATCTCCATTAACCTACCGTAAAGATTCGGATTTCAATTTACATTTCTGAATTTGAAGTGTCAGAAAACAAAAAAAAGGGAGATAATTGTTCCAAAAGTCATTATTAATAAGAATAAAACACACGAAGAGAAAAAAAATGCTGCATATGTTGAATTCTGCAATCACAGAAAGCAAAGAGCATAATAGTGGAAGCTTGATGCTAGGACAAAACCTACTTCAATTACTTTAAGTTATAGTAGCGGATTTTCACAATTTTTTTAAAAGACCCACCCTCTCCGCTGTAAAAAAAAAATGCACATGCACATCCCCGTACCCTCTCCCGAGAGGGAACGCCTATCAAACGTGTGCAAGATCATGCACAGGCACGTCTCCTCATGCACGCTCTGTTTAAAAGTTGCTGTTTGCATCCCTCATACATGCTTACTTTCCAAAAGAAGATTTGCATTTTTTCCACCAAGTCAGACTTACCAACGTTAAGTGGAAATGGGGAGGAGCACGTAGGACGGCCTTACATAAACATATCACCAGAATGAATAAAGATTGCGAGGACCACTTATTTCGATGATCCACCCAGAAAAAGAACATACTTTTAAATAATGCTAACACACCAAATACAAAACACCAGCTAAGAAAAAACTGCTTCAAGTAGCAAAAAAACCAGCTGTAAGTTGAGAAAAGCTGCACTCTAGCTCCCCATAGCAGTAGTAGGACCAGATCACTGGGGGAGACGATTATTAAACCTTATGGGACCAGACAACAGATATTTTCTAACTAATGTCTTAGGACCTGACATAAACGTTGACATGAATATGACATAAATAGTAATGTCTTAAGCACTGCTGCCTTGCAGCAAGGGGCTTCTGGGTTTGATTCCCGGCCCAGGGTCTTTCTGCATGTTCTCCCTGACCATGCAAGGGTTCTCTCCGGGTACTCCGGCTTCCTCCCACAGTCCTAAAGCATGACTGTTAGGTTAATTGGCTTCTCTAAATTGTCCTTAGGTGTGTATGTGATTGGTTGTTTGTCCTGTTTGTCTCTGTGTTGTCCTGCGATGGACTGGTGACCTGTCCAGGGTGGACCCCACCTCTCATTGACTGCTGGAGATAGACACCAGCACCCCTCGCGACCCCACTTGGGACAAGCGTGTCAGATAATGGATGGATGGATAGTATGTCTTAGCAAAGACATTAATTTTCAGAGGGAAGAAATAACCAGTACATTTTCCTTTAAATTTTGTTAAACATTTACGGTAATCAAGTTTGAACACTTCAGGCATGCAGTTCGTTTTTAAGAAAGATCTAGGTCATAGCAGTGATGCTTTGCTCCACTGAGTGGTCTGGAGGACCTCTTTATAATGGACTAGTTTGAACCTTTTCTGAACTTGCAATTTTTTTTTAGTACTTGAAGCAACTTTCCTTTGAATGTGTCTAAATATCATTTATCTATTTACAGCAGGCTTTGTGTTTGCAGGGTGTTTCCACTTTGCAGCTCTTTGTACTCTGTGATCACAGCATCTCTCTTTAGCAGCACTTTTTTGCATGTGTTTTTTGTGTCTGTGTGTGTTGCTTTAATTTTGGAGTTTTGTTAGTATGGTTTTTATATTTGCAGGATATATTTTATTTGCTGTAAAATCCTGCATTTGGACAACATGTGCAGCCCTTATCCACCATAATAAAACAAACAAAAACAGCAGCAATGTCTATAAAATAGCTCATCAGTTGGTAAAGGTTCTTTCAATTTAAATTAATGGGGGCACTCTGACCAGCTCTCTCTCCCTCTGCATGCTGCAAACGTCCTTAGACAGAAGAAGTCATAACCACCGGAGAGGGACGGATCGGCCTCCTGGGGGACTGGCGAGAGGTGCCCTGTTTGAGAGTGCAGTGGTTTTAGCTCTGATGGCTATTCTGTTTTCCTACAGATTCCATTTTAACTGATCCTATTTTCAGCTGTCTGGAAACTGTTACAGTGAGGGAATTCTGCCAACAAAGCAACCATGTTAAAACATTCGGCGCTCTAAATAACGTCTACTGGTTAAGTTCATCCATGGATGAACTTTGGATGGCAAATATAGAAACTTTTAGCAATGCATCAGTCAAAGAATGTTGCCCTTCATACACATATTTTCTGCAGAAGACCCCCTTTCTCCCCCCTTTCCTCTGCTCCACCTGCTTGAAAGTTGTAAAACATTTTTTTTTTATGATAGCTATTTCTTTGGATCTTCCTCAACCTTCTGAGTCTTCATCTTTCACCTACCACTCATTGTGGACATGATTTAATTTTTTTTTATTTCTGTGTCCTGTTTTGTTGCTAGACCCTTTTCAAAGTTATTGGTAAAGATGTGTAAAAAGCCTTGAAATCAAATCTTCTTTTACTCTAGTAGCTTCATAGAAATTAGCTTTGAACCTGAACCAAACCTTTGATATAGGCAGTTATTCAGCAGAAAAGATCACTTTATGTTAAGAAATGGTTGAAATGGTCAACCCTAGTAGCTGCTATCAGCTACAGGGGTTTTAGAAAAAAAAGATGCACCTAGTATTCAGGGAGAGACAGACAGTAGGAGAGTTCAAAACATTTATTGAAACATCCCAGGAGGACCCGAAGGAAGTCGATCCTGGACAGGGTTACAGAAGAGGCATGAACAGACAGGAGACAGGATCCAGATCACGCAGGAACAGACAGGAGGCAGGATCCAGATCACGCAGGAACAGACAGGAGACAGGATCCAGATCAGCCAGGAACAGACAGGAGACAGGATCCAGATCAGGCAGGAACAGACAGGAGACAGGATCCAGATAAGGCAGGAACAGACAGGAGACAGGATCCAGATCAGGCAGGAACAGACAGGAGACAGGATCCAGATCAGGCAGGAACAGATAGGAGACAGGATCCAGATCAGGCAGGAACAGACAGGAGACAGGATCCAGATCAGGCAGGAACAGATAGGAGAAAGATCCAGATCAGGCAGGAACAGACAGGAGACAGGATCCAGATCAGGCAGGAACAGATAGGAGAAAGATCCAGATCAGGCAGGAACAGACAGGAGACAGGCTCCAGATCAGGCAGGAACAGATAGGAGACAGGATCCAGATCAGGCAGGAACAGATAGGAGACAGGATCCAGATCAGGCAGGAACAGACAGGTGACAGGATCCAGATCAGGCAGGAACAGATAGGAGACAGGATCCAGACCAGGCAGGAACAGATAGGAGACAGGATCCAGATCAGGCAGGAACAGACAGGAGACAGGCAGGAACGGATAGGAGACAGGATCCAGATCAGGCAGGAACAGACAGGTGACAGGATCCAGATCAGACAGGAACAGACAGGTGACAGGATCCAGGCTTCCAGGTAATCCACTGGTTCCCAGGCAGGTTCAGAGTCTGACAGGGTCCAGAAGCGTGACCAGGCGGTCACACAAAGGAGCAGACAGGATCAGGTGCAGACAGGCAGACTCAGTGGTAGAGGGTAGCAGAGACAGGACGTGGAACCAGAACTTGAGCAGGACCTTTAAACTGGTCTCCTCCCTAAAGCCAGGCTTAATGGGAAAAAACTGACCCTCCCTGAACAGAATACAAACCAAAGGAAACAGGTGAGAGGAATAAATGATGCGGCAGGGAGGGAAAACGGCAGGTGAAAGGAATAACCAATTAAGGGAGAGCAAACAGGCCAGATGATTATCTATTTTATTGCTACCTTTTCAGATTAACCAGAGTCCTGGTTTCTATCATGCGCTCTCCTCTCTTCAGCCTGGGAAGTAAAACGACTTTGAGCTAAAGTTGAATTTGGACTATATATGTGTTAATCTGTGGACCATTATTCCTTATCCAGTATAATTGGATTTTAAATTATTAAATGCCTCAAACTGTTGGAAGCATCTTAAGTTCTTTGGAAGAGAACCTGGCCCACTGTCTCATTAACCCCCACCTTACCTACCAGTGTGGGCTACATGTGGGTCATTTTCACATTTTCATAGAGTGTTGTAAACAGTTAGTCCCTTCAAAACAAAGTGCAGGGTTCCTGTTAAAGTTCCAGCAGAATTTAGCAAATTACCTTCATAATTATAAGGACAAACATTGTTTTTCCTGGCAGCAATTAATATCAGCTGGTTGACATGTACATGAATAAACAATTATGGAGACTTGATGACCAAAAATATATTTTTTATGAAGATAGGCTTGATAAGATATTTTTTTTAAATCTCTTTACATTCTGCTCTCTTTGAGTGGAGGGAAGATGAAGGTGGGGTCATTTCCCAGCCTTTTAGGCTTCTCCTGATTCAGTCACTGGTCTTACATAAATTAAGTGTTTTCTTTTCTTTCTCATTTTGGGTAGTGATGAAAAGAGGCAGGTCTGTGTGTTTGCTCACATCTACAGTAGACTTCAGTAAAGCAAAAGTCATCTATAAAACAGATTATAGATACTTGAATCCTCTAAAAAAGTTACGTTTTTGTTTAAACTAAATTTCAATTTCATTTGAACAAATTGTTGCAGCTGAGGTGAGTTGATACATGGGAGATTTCTAAAAATTGTTAGAACACACTCAGACCCGCCCCAAGTGTCTTCACTTTGAACATTTTCTAAATTTGTGTGGGAGCTTTACATCAGGTTTAGTTACACTTTAAGTACTATTGCACATCTTTAGCAGGGGTACCTGTGGTCTGTGTGAGTTCTTATGTGAACCATGAAATGTTCTTTTTCAAGAAAGTTTACTCCAAATGTCAGACATGTGAAAGGTGGTTCTAAAGCGTTCATATAAAGTTATATGGGAGTGTTCATGATTACAGTTTTACCATAGTAGTTTGATACTGTAATAATTTTCTGTGCAGTGATTAAATTTGAGGTTTACTTTCCCCTTGAAGCCTTCCTGTGCCTCTTTCTCTATATTCCTTCCTTCTTCCTCATCTCCATCCCTACTCTTTTTTTTTCTGTCCTACATCTGCCAGGTTTTTGCGCTGCTCGAAAGAGTCACAACATTGACGAGCGTGAGTCAGTTAGCGGCGAAGAGCCACAAGTCCCTCAGCCCCAAACCCACATAGCAGCGAGAACCAAACCTAGAGTGCTTTTAAACACCCTGCCTTATGTAGTTGCTGTCCAGTGCTTAGCAGAGCCAAAGCACCTGAATACCCCCTCCTCTGTCCTATCCATTACAGAAGTGATTCTTTCAGCAGGACGTGAGCTCCTGAGACATTTCGACAATCATTAAAAGTATAGAGATTTTTTTGAATGGAACAAGAAGACGTCCATGCTCATTTCCAGACAGCTCTGGTTAATGAGCCTGGTCACAGAAATAGGAAAGTGTGGGAGGATGCGCCATTGTTCCTCAAAGACATCACTTCTGCTAATGGAACAGCTCCCTGTTTTGAAGGAAACCATTTATGCAAATGGTCATGAAGGCAACACCTGGTGCTCATCTCATTCTGTGCAAAGAAGCATCTGAATATATTTTCTTTTGTCTTTTTGTTCTCTCGTTGAGAGATTAAAAGCAAATCTGCAGCAGCAATGGATGGCTTTGTTTGGCTGCATCATGCCCAGGCAGAGGCATTCATGGCCATGCTACCATACCTGCCCACGTTTGTGCTTTATGCTGAGAGAATATATTTTGTTTTGCTTTTTTCCCCACTGTAGCAGAATTAAAAGCTCACTGTGACCTGTTTATATCCATCAGGTGCCTGAATGGACCAAATGCAGCAGCCGGGAGAAAAGGAAGGAGAAGAAAGTTGAGAAGCCGTTCTACTCCGACTCTGACGGCGAGTCTGGGCCAACAGAGTCAGCTGATAGTGGTAACATGGAGCTTTGTCAACCTAATCCTGGAATGTATGAGATGGGCTGATTTTACACACAATTTTCTACCGTTAAACATAACGTTTAAAGCCTTTCTCCAGCAGAGAATAGGAATCTATGGACCTGAGGGGAGGGGGTCTCCTGTTCTAGCAGAACAAAGACGTTGTACTACAATAGGGTTGTACCGTTTTAAACACATTAATATCTAAATCCTCTCCATCCTCAACCAGTGACATAAAACATTGGAATTCTTGTTGCATAGACATAGAAACTGGGAAATATAACTGTAGATGGAAGAGCTGGCAGAGATGTAGCTTATAACCCCAGTATTCATCTCATCGGGATGAAAACCAAGAACAGAATTTTTGAGCAGTCATTTAAGAAAAATATGCAAACATTTTTTAATGCACTCCTTTATCCCTGTGTATCACTCTAAATGTGCACTAAAGCATAGGTATTGATAGACCAAATGTTTGAAAAGGAAAACCAAATCAATTACATTTTTTATAGAGTGATTTAAACATAGATCTTCATGTTATGTTAATGCTGCAAAGTACAGCTCATAAATGCTCTACTACTACAACTATAGATAGGTAAAAGTAAATGTACATGGAGGATCACACAGTAAATGCTGCGTTAAAAGCCAAAGAGTAAAAGTAGTTATTGATTTGAGATTTAAAATATTTTATTTTCAGGGCTATTTGGATGCTACAGGGCAAAGTATTCCAGGGTCTGGGGCCAACCACAAAAAACCTGGGCCCCCTGATCTGTGTTTAACGAATTAATATATATTTATTAATTAAAACAGATTGTTAAACACCTTTAGAAGTGCAGTTTCTATACCATCTAGTGCTTTATAACCTGACATTCTCACAATCTTACACAGAAATAAAAGTGTGGCGAGTAAGTGTGTGAGAGGTCCGGGGTCCAGATCCCGGACAGCCCCCCAAAATATTACAGTCCTTATGTCGTCACATAGGATACCCAACATATAATGTTCAGAGCAGATTACATTTTGAACAAAAGGTTTACTAAACCCCAAGTCTGGACACAAAAGGGAAACAGGCAAAATAGCCTAGTGTGTCCACAGACAGCCAGACCACACGGTCCGATGAAATGTGGCTTTTTGGCGCAAAAGATAGCATCTAATAAAAAAGCATCTGGAGCAAGGCTGAGAGGCATGGCAACAGCAAATGCTCTTCTTGACTCCTTCTCTTCTTGTGTGGGTGGCGTGTAATCCTTTTAAATCTCATCCAGCCAATCGGGTAAAAGAAGAAAACATTTAAATCAAACTCATTTAATAAACTCACACAGGGAAATATCACATGGCCAACATTTTTAAAGCATGGCGTTTTCTTGAATTTAAGGCTTAACTGCAGCATGTGGAACCTGATATGTGGAATTACGTGTGATAAAGCTGGAGGTTTGACAACAAGATGCCCATTACATGATAAAACCTCCACTACCTGAGTCAACATCAGGTGCTTTGTTTGTGGACTGAGCTTTGATATTCATCCTCTTAAATTGTTCTTAAAAAGTGTAAATTTTGAAGCAGCTCTACATCCATCTCTAAACTTTATTCTTTCACAAGTTGCTTAGGTTCTCTCTATGTGAGTCTAATACAACATTTTAGAGACAGAGAAGCTGGTAAATTCCACTGATCGTTAGTATGAAGGACTTGTTCCCAAAAATATGCTTGAAGCGTCAAAAACTCAAAAGATCATGAAACCTTGATAAACCTCACTTGGCAAAAAAAGCTTTGATGGTGACAAAGATCAGGAAATGCTCTGTTAAAAGTCACCCTTTTGAATTTCTGTGGGGTTTGTCAGGAAGAAAAATTAAAAAGCGCCTGTTAAATACATTTTTTTCCATCTTTCCTCTCCAGAGTCAGACTCTGGCAGCGGCTCAGAGAGCGGCAGTGAGGAGAGCAGGTCGGGTTCAGAGAGCGAAGAGAGCGATGAAGCCTCTATGTCTGAGGAGGAAGAGGAGGAGGATGAGGAGGAAAAGAAACCTAAGAAGAGAGAGTTAAAGAAACCAATGCATGAGAGTAAAAGGTAGTTCCTTTTTTTCTGTAATTTGTGATAAAGCCTAGCTGTTCACCGCTGTCATTTCACTTTAGCATGAAATATGTCTCTCTTTCATGTAATAAATAACTCCTTCCTACTTTCAGTGAGCAGAGCAGCGAAGAGGAAGACAGGAAGCGTGAGAGGAAAGGTAAACAGCGGCAGAGCGAATCCGAGTCTGAATCAGAAGAACAAGAGGAGAGTGAATCTGAGAGCAGCCAGTCAGAGTCTGAATCTGACTCTGAATCTGAGGCAGAAGTCAAAAAGAAGAAGAAGGTACTTGTTCTTCTCATTTAGAAGTAGATACTGCAGAAGTATTTACAGGTGCTGGTCATAAAATTAGAATATCATGAAAAAGTAGATTGATTTCAGTAATTCCATTTAAAAAGTGAAACTTGTATATTATATTCATACATTACATACAAACTCATATATTTCAGATGTTTATTTTGTTTAATTTTGATGATTACAAATGACAACAAATGAAAATCTCAAATTCATCATATCAGAAAATTAGAATATTGTGAAAAGGTTCAAAATTGATGGCCCCTGGTGCCACACTCTAATCAGCTAATTAACTCAAACCACCTGCAAAAGCCTTTAAATGGTCTTTCAGTCTAGTTCTATAGGCTACACAATCATGGGGAAGACTGCTGACTTGACAGTTGTCCAAAAGACGACCATCGACACCTTGCACAAGGAGGGCAAGACACAAAAGGTCATCGCTAAAGAGGCTGGCTGTTCACAGAGCTCAGTGTCCAAGCACATTAATAGAGAGGCGAAGGGAAGGAAAAGATGTGGTCGAAAAAAGTGTACAAGCAAGAGAGATAACCGCACCCTGGAGAGGATTGTGAAACAAAACCCATTCAAAAATGTGGGGGAGATTCACAAAGAGTGGACTGCAGCTGGAGTGAGTGCTTCAAGAACCACCACACACAGACGTATGAAAGACATGGGTTTCTGCTGTCGCATTCCTTGTGTCAAGCCACTCTTGAACCACAGACAGCGTCAGAAGCGTCTAAAGAGAAACAGGACTGGACTGCTGGTGAGTGGTCCAAAGTCATGTTCTCTGATGAAAGTAAATTTTGCATTTCCTTTGGAAATCAAGGTCCCAGAGTCTGGAGGAAAAGAAGAGAGGCACTTCATCCACGTTGCTTGAAGTCCAGTGTAAAGTTTCCACAGTCAGTGATGGTTTGGGGTGCCATGTCATCTGCTGGTGTTGGTCCATTGTGTTTTCTGAGGTCCAGGGTCAACGCAGCCACATACCAGGAAGTTTTAGAGCACTTCATGCTTCCTGCAGCTGACCAACTTTTTGGAGATGCAGATTTCATTTTCCAACAGGACTTGGCACCTGCACACAGTGCCAAAGCTACCAGTACCTGGTTGAAGGACCATGGTATCCCTGTTCTTAATTGGCCAGCAAACTCTCCTGACCTTAACCCCATAGAAAATCTATGGGGTATTGTGAAGAAGAAGATGCAATACACCAGACCCAACAATTCAGAAGAGCTAAAAGCCACTATTAGAGCAACCTGGGCTATCATAACACCTGAGCAGTGCCACAGACTGATCGACTCCATGCCACGCCGCATTGCTGCAGTAATACAGGCCAAAGGAGGCCCAACTAAATACTGAGTGCTGTACATGCTCATACTTTTCATGTTCATACTTTTCAGTTGGCCAACATTTCTATAAATCCTTTGTTTTTATTGGTCTTCAGTAATATTCTAATTTTCTGATATGATGAATTTGAGATTTTCATTTGTTGTCATTTGTAATCATCAAAATTAAACAAAATAAACATCTGAAATATATGAGTTTGTATGTAATGTATGAATATAATATACAAGTTTCACTTTTTAAATGGAATTACTGAAATCAATCTACTTTTTCATGATATTCTAATTTTATGACCAGCACCTGTATGTCCCTATTCATCAGGTTGGTTTTTTTGTATTTAATTCCTAAAATACTCCCCTAGATGCTGTGGGAGTAAAGCCAGAGGGAGAGTTTGATCGCAAAATGAAAAATTTGCCCCCACTACATGACACTGCTACCTCCTTGTTTTACTGTGATAAGGGAGTTTTGTTTGAGGGGAATCAGACAATGGTCAAAGCATTGCATTATGAGATTTCTTTAAGTTTAGGATCTTCTTTTATAACCTAACCCTTCTAAGAACATTCACCAGTGTTCTGTAACAGTATTCAGGGACCTTCACAGAACAGCTGAGATGGGTCAAAAGCAGAGAGCAAATTTCCCCATTAAGGGACTATAAATGGATTTACTTTTTTTTTTTTCATATGGTTACACAATCACCATCACCATGACACACTCGGTAAAATGGAGAACTGAACAGACAGCAGATAGCTCCTCCTATTTGGAGATGCGGTGAAGTGAGCTCAGAGATTTCTCAGCATTTTCTATGCAATTTTTTTTCAGAGTAATAGGTAAGAAAAATAGAGTTTTAAAAAAGGGGTGAAATGTCTCACACACAGCAGGAAAGATGTGTTGGTATCTGGTGTGATAGGTTTAAACTAATCAAATTAGTCAAGTTACCATGAACGTTAACAACAAAATGAATGCAAAAAAGCCATACAATAGGACCAATGTAATCATTGGTATATCACAAATAATGCCAATCAACTCCAGTCCAGTCTAGCTGCAGCAGAATAAAATGTAAAAAATTATGTTATTATATCCCACGAAGTGTTGCTTGTTTAACAGTGGCTGAACAGTGGCTGATATTCATGGATCTTTACCTAAATTTCTTACAGGCAGCTGAGTCTAAACCTCCTTCCAAACCGATCAAGAAGGAGACCAAGAAAGAGAAGAAAGAAATGTCTCTTCTTGACCTTGATGATTGTGAGTTTATGTGTTTCATTTATTTAAACAGTTTTACATGTATTTTTCTTTTTAACAACCAATTTCCGTGGTAAGCTCATGGTTTAGTATCAGATTACCTCCTCTGACTGTTGACTTGCATCTTGTGTTGTCAGTTGAACCAACTCCCTCACCTCAAGTCACGCCGGTCAACAACTTGCTGTCCAACAGCCTTGTGACCGACCTGGAGGGGCTTTCTCTCTCTGATGCCGTCCTGTCACCAGCAGTAAGAATAAACATTTTTGTCCTGTATTCTATATTTGAAGAAGAAGAAAAAAAAACGTCACAAAAGACCTATATTATCTCTTCACAGACCATCGCTCCCTCCAGCGCGCTGAAGAGCTATGAGCTGCTGCACCGCATCACGGGTGAGGGACTGTCAGTGGAGTACTGCTTCAGCCGGCAGCCTTTCAGCCCCGACGCAAACATGGTGGCGGTCCAGATGCACTTCACAAACAACTCCGCCTCCGACACCAAGAGCCTACATATGGAGGATGTGAAGCTGCATTCTGGGATGAGGGTCAAGGAGTTCCAAGAGATAGGTAGGTGCTGAAAGAGCATAAGAAAGCATTCCTTAGAGGTTCATCCTCCTTATTCATGAATATACTTTGTGTGCTGACAGAGTTGCTACCAGCCGGTGAGACTGCCACAGCAGTGATGGGCATTGACTTCTGCGACTCAACACAAGCAGCAAACTTCCAGCTGTGGTGAGTCGCCATCTCTGCTCGTTCTTTAGCTCTCAGAGACACTATTAAAACACAGCCAGAACATAGCTGAATTCAACTCGATTCAGTTTATTTCTATAGCGGCAATTCACAACGCATGTCATCTCAAGACCCTTTACAGTTCACCAGATCATCCAGTCAGATTGATTCAACGTTTTCTATCTTGACTCTTCAGCAATCCCTCACACTAAACATGCTTGTAGTGACAGTGGAGAGGAAAAACTCCCTTTTAACAGGAAGAAACCTCCAGCAGCGTGTTGTATTTTCGTACACTCTCTACGACACGGTCTGTTTGTTCTTTGTTGAGTTTAACAGCCCTGCTGTTGTTTTGCAGCACACACACCAGGAAGTTCTTTGTATCCATCCAGCCGCCCGTCGGGGAGCTGATGAGGCCAGTCTTCCTCACAGAGAACGAGTTTAAAAAAGAGCAAGGTGAGCAATGTTTAAAGCACAATCGGAGGTTAGTATATCATCCCTGCTGAGTCTATGAAGAATCCTCCACTATTTCTCTAATGGTTAAAAAAACAAACTGCTCTATAGGTTTAAAGTTGCATGAAACCTTTTCCAGCCTGAGAAAAGTCCAGTAAACATGTACCATTCATTGTACCCCCGATACGATCCCTGATAGAGAAGCCTGTACAGACTACAGGTAAGTAGACTGGATAGGTTTGCTGTCCCCAGCCCTCTGTGTGACCAGCTGCTTTCTAGCAACCCCACCCCCCACCACCACTATCCCACCAACCTCCTCCCTTAGATGCTCCTCTCCCACATGTGGAGCTGCTGATCGCAGGAATGACTGGAAATGTTGGTCCACTGATCATGTTTGAGCACAGTGTGAAGGGACAACATGGTCCGGCTCACATTCACTTTGTGAATGCACTTTGTAACCATAAGCAACCACGGATCATGATGAGCAGTGGTGTGAAAAGTACACACATTTTTTATTTAAGTAGAAGTATAGACACTGCACTTTAAAACACTCTGGTAAAAGTTGAATATCAACTTGACCTCTTTATTTAAGTAAAAGTGAAAAAGTATGTGCTCCAAAAACTACTAAAAGTATAAAGTAACCTTTTAAAAAAAACAGCCAGATGCCACTATATGAAATCAAAGCTAAATTTTTCAACTATTTCTAAAAATTCTCTGAGATAGGACCAAGGATGAGGGAGGTCTTGTTGGTCTCCGTCTCTATCCCCCAATACGCCCTCGCCTGTGTCCGACCTTTGAGACATTTCTGTCATGTTATTTTAGGGGATCTGACCCACATGCAGGAAACCACTCAGAGAACCAGAGAGAAGGTTTAACAGGTTTATTGAAAGCACGATGAGTTGGATCCAGTGTTACTCAAAACGCTGGTGAACCGATACTGGAAGTGAGAAGGGAAGTTCAGAGTTTAGTTCAGGCTCAGTGGGAAAATTGAGCGACGACTTGCAAAAACAAAAACTGAAACTGGACTCACGTTTTCAGAAAAAGGTGTCCTTCCCAGAATCCAGTAGGTGTGGGTTATTCCAGAATTTGGTTGACTCGTTGGAGGGCGGACAGGGTTTACTCAGGTTTGGTTAGTTCCTTGAGGAGCAATGGAGCTGACTGCCACTTAAATTTCCTAAAAGTACTTGAACAGTACATGTGGAGATTAATCCCCTGCTCAGTGTGAAGCTCAAACAATCCTTTCAGGAGGAGAAGGTGCAAATATCCAGTTTGCATCCCCTGCTCAGTGTGAGGATCAAACGATCTTTCCAGGGGGAAAAGGCCAAAACATCCAGTTTGCAGGATGACTTCCTGCCGAGAGGCAAAGACAAAAACAACATGATTAGGGCTCAGGGAGACAAAAATTCAGTTTGACTCAGCAAAACCCAGCTTTGCTAGAGTACCCACAACTGGCAAACACTCTGGCGTCGAGGTAGTGGAAGTCAGCAGCTTAAGAGTCCTCAGATAATGAGCCAACCATCTGCAGGTGTGTGGAAGGGCCAAGAACCGGGCGCCACCTAGTGGTGGAGGAAGAAAACACAAACACACAACCCACACAAACTGGATTCTTAACAATTTCAACATCTTTTTCTGAATCCTACATTGTAGCATGGCATAGACAATTCACGTTTGCAGTTTGAAGAACACCTGCTTGCCTCTGATGATTTCCTTTCGCTAACCAATGAGTGTTTGCGTTCTATGACTCATCCAATGACACTGGTTTTCACTAGATGTGGATGGTGCCAATGATCTGCATTGGATGGAGCACATGACCTGAAATAAATATTTATAAACAGTAAACCAGGGGTAACCAATTAAAAATCAGTGGGGTACGGATAAAGAAAATCAGCAACCACTAAAGGTCTAGAGAAGTTTTTAGTGATCTGTTACTTTAAACAGAATTTAACACTGAAATAAAATGAGGTGTTAAAATTTGCATCCTATGCTGTTTCATAGAAATATACACTTGTAACTAATGTAACATTTTCCACATGCTTACACATGTGTTCTGGGCTACCAGTGTGAGTTTCATGTGTGTGCGACAATTTCTAACTTAAAAACAAGCCGGATGCATTTTTCGTTAGGTCCTTGTCCAAAATTGCATCCCATGCTATCTCAGAGGAGTTGACACTGTATTCCTGTATATACATCAGTAGTTAAAGGACAAGGGTCATCAAATGCAAATTCTGCCTGTAAAACAATGACAGAGCAATTGTCGCTGTGTGATCTGAAGCCATATTTGGAGCTTTTAAACAGGATTTTGAAAACCTTTGACAATTTGCTGCTGTAATAATATAGATTTTTTAGAATAAAAAGCTAGAAGATGTGCATAATCAAAAAAATAACAGAAATACAATTATAGAGCATTCAGTATTATAAGAAAGCCCACACTGTTTCTGCATAAATACATTATTGTATGAGTTAAGTTCTGTTCGGTTTATGTCTCTTTCCTTGTAAGTGAGATATGTCCCATATGCTCCTGAATGCACCATAGCTATCTGACGCTCGTGACTGCATCACACTGGTCTGTGAACGCTGGTCTGTGTAGATGCGCGTTTGATTTTCAGCTGAAGACAAAGCTTTGCTGTTTCAAAACTCGTGTCGGCATCACTGTTTATTGTTGTGTGTAAATAACAAGAGACTACAACAAATAAATCAGCCGTACCTCGGACAAAATTGGATTTAATGTTGCTCATAACACCTGTACTATTGTAAATAAAGTTGCCAAATAACCACAATTTTTTTCCATGAGAGGAATATTTAAACATTTTATATCATTTATATAACAACAAGTAGTACTATTGGAAATGTTTTAATCCGCAGTTGTACAGATCAAGGCGTGCTCCCGCAACTGGGGATGCATATCTGGGCAGGCATGCACTTTTCGGCATAACACCGAACCAAGGTCAGCAAATCCCTGACCCCTGCATTAAACCAAAGCCAAGAGTAACGAGTAATGTGTGTTTTAAAACTGTAAGGAATAGAAAGTACAGATACTTGTATGAGAATGTAATGAGTAGAATTAATTAAGGAAGAAAAATAAGTAATGGAGTAAAGTATAGATACCTAAAAAGTGTACTTAAGTACAGTAACAAAGTATTTGTACTTCGTTACTTGACGCCTCTGATGATGAGACGTATTGTAGTGTCATCTTTTTGTTATTTTTTTCTGTTCTTTATATTTAAAGTCAAACTGATAGATTGGGCGCTACTTCTCTCTGGTTGCTAATGGCTCTTTATTTTTATCAACTGTGTTTAAGACGTTTTTACGTAGACAAAGACAGTTTTGAGTCGGCGGTTATTGGTGCTTCCATCCATCCTCTTCAATGTTCAGTGGAAGAATCACAGCATCGCAGATGCTTTAAATCCCAAACACTGTGGAGTCAAATTTAGTGTAGCAATATTTTACCCCTTTGTTGGTCTGTATGTATATACAGTGGGCAGTATGTAGAACTGAATCCCCAAAATTGGTAGATGTCTGTGACACTCTTGTAATACATCTATGTCTCATATGATTTACACAAGCCTAAAAGATCAGCTTTCTAGATTGTTGTTTTTTTTTTACTGATCCCTGCTCTGCCTGCGCTCTGTCAGGTCAGCTGATGGGAATGAATGAGATTACAGAGAAGCTAACGTTGGATGCCAAGTGTCGGAACGAGCACACCATTGTCCAGAGAGTGACCACGGCCGCCAACCTCAGCCGAGTCCCCTGTGGGTCGGATAAAGAGTGCAGGTAGGAGGGTTTCCACTGTGCTAGACCCAAAGCAGACACTGCAACCTCAGGATTGGAGATTTGAATATTAGAGAATGTTTTTGAAGAGGAAGGGCCGAACCATCAGCAAGGAATAATCACTGGATCATTTTTTGTACGTAAAAATTTGTAAACTAACTTTACAGTTAATCAGTAAAAAAGTAGTGTTCTTTGACAAACATGGATGCCTCCAGTAAAGCACATTCAAATGAAAATTACTTCTAATTAAAAAACACTTATCATATATTGAATATTATGTAATAATTTCATATTTAAAGTACTTTCAAAAGTTTGTATTCTAAATATCACCTGACTTTTCCTTTAAGTATGGTGTGATTAATTCAATCTGTGCCTCTGCGATTTGTAAATTGCATTCTGTTAAATTATGATTGTAATGCAAATGCAATTAGATGTCAATGCCAATAGATGTCACTTCATGATTATGCATTAGTTTGACCTTCACTAATACGAGCCACAGTAGTGCTAATAAAGCAATCTCTAAAATCACAAATATATAAAATAGTTGCTGCTAAGTTCACATCAACTGAACACCGTCTGCTGCTGGCTACACTTTTAATCTTTTTTAAGGGGTATGGACAAATATAGCCAATTCACTGTCAATGAACTTTTCCATGTTTTGTCTCTGTAGTTGGATCCTTTGGGGCTCACTCTATGCGTTTCCTCCAATTATCCTTATTTTCTCATTTTTATTGTTTTTGTTGCTGAGAAACGATCTGATTTCTCTAAAATATCCATAGAATGAGTCCATAAATAGTATTAGCTACAGTGCAGCGTTCAACTGACCAGAAGAGACAAAAATTTAAAAATGTGACTTAATTAATCTCATACTGGAGAAATTCACCTCTGCATTTAACCCATCCCCTTAGGGAGCAGTGGGCTGCCACTGTGTGGCTGAGCAATTGGAGGTTAAGGGTCTTGCTTAGGGACCCAGAGTGCAGGCTAGAATAAATATATATATATATATATATATATATATATATATATATATATATATATATATATATATATATATATATATATATATATATATATATATATATATATATATATATATATATATATATAACATGAAATGTAACTAAAAAAAAAAACCATTTAGAGAAAAAGGCCTGATTGAAATTCAGCGATGCTTTTACTGTGAAGAGATGAAGGTTTTTTTTGTTTTTTTCCTATGTTTTGGAATAAAGATTTGGAATAATTCTTATCTGATTCGGGTACAAAATCAACTGTAAAGGTAATTAAAACATTTCTTTACTTTTGATCCTGCTAACTGGTATCTGTTTCACTCTTATTCTGTGTATTCAACCTTATTTCTGATCTTTGCTGCTTTGACCTCAGTCCTCCTGTTCCTCCTCCTGATCATCCTGTCTACAGGTTTGCTGGCAGAACGGTGACCAGTGGCAGTCTGGTGCTGGTCACTGTTGCGAGTAGAGAAGAGGGCGCTGCTCAGCTGACTGTCAACTGTGAGAAGATGTTGATCGGTACGATGCTGGTTAAAGACATCCTCCTGGCTCTAACTCAGTGACGACAGGCAAAGACCCAGCGGGACTTGTACTCCCTCACCTCAGCCACCTCATAGATTTTAAGGACTTGGCCACTGCTCCATCTTCTGTGTTCTCCAGCAAGCAAAGTTAGAGAGGAAGCTTCCAGATTGTGAAAAGCTAATGGGCTCTTAGTATTTTAGATGTTTCTGTTTGCTGCGTCTAAAACCTCTTCTCAGAGAAAACATCTATATACAAGAATAATCCAACTGTAGCATTATTATTTTACCTGTAATTAGCCTAAATCTGAAGTATCTATAATTAAGATGATCCAAGGTATAAAAATGATTTCATGGGCTTTTTCTTATACTGGTTTCCAGGATAAACATTGTAGCAGAGCGGATATTAATATTCAGATATTTTCTACTGTTTGTTCTCACTCTCCACATGGAAATCAAACTTTTGGTTAGGTTAGAAAAAGGCTAACTAGATTTTCAATTTTGTCAATCATATCATTCATGTGAGATATCCATCCATCTTACATAAATGATTTAGGCTACCTTCACACTGCAGGCCTTAATGCTCAATTCAGATTTTTTTTGTTAAATCTGATTGTTTTATGTGTTTATTTCCTGTTTCTAAATATATGTGACTTGTATATGAACTCCTGTGTGAAATGTATTTACTCACTCGTATCGGATTAAGGACCACATAGCCAAGGCTCTGTTCACACTATAGTGACCCAAATCTGATTTTTTAATGCCCATATGCAACTTGTATCTAATCTTTTCATTAGTGTCTAAACAACACAGATCTGATTTTTTCCAATGCGACCCAGGCCACTTGGCTATGTGGTCCTGGATCTGATCTTTTCAAATGCGACCTGTGTGCGAACGGCCAGGACGCATTCATCCGACGTGTATTCTATTAGCACCCAACAAAGCAGGAAGGAAAGCAACAACCATGGCAGACGACTATGCGGAGAACAGTCTTTATTTTCAATCGTCTTTAAAAGATGGTGTTTTTAATGCAATGACTGAGTTTGGGAAAGATTTCTAGAGAAAAAAATTTGGAATTGAGCGTTAAGTGTGAAAGTAGGGACCCGATTTACTTTCTGGTCTGAAAACATTGGTTCATTTGCTTTGTCCTGACTTTGTTTCCATCAGACCTCAGTTGTAAGGCAGAGATATAAATGTCTGAGAGGAAGAGTTAAATGGCTTTTTAGTATGTGTCTTTGACTATTGTGTCTTTTGGACTCAGGACATAAATATTGATTGGGGTAGCTATTATCCTGACACTATTGGTTTGCATAGAAACCCTAGAGAAGGTGTAACGATAGAGGAACAAGAAACAGCTGCAGTAGTGCGGCTGGTGCACTGGAGAGTCACCACAACTCTGCACCAAAGCTTGTATGTGTTGTTTAAAGAAAGCAAAACAATACCGGATCTATACTATGATATGATCATCAAGGATTTTTAAAGAATAAAAACTGCAACAGATATTTTGTAAATTTCAAAAAACAATCTTCTCAATGAGCATAATTTTATTACATAAGTTTTGGGCAGGAGAGGCCCTGTTGGAAAAATATCAATAATAACCTAAACCTTTCCAGTATTTTAGAATAAAAGACAGCATGTAATAAAAAATCCGTATTAAAAATCAAATAAATTACTCAGTTTAACAGAAAAGCTAACAGCAGATGTAAACATTTCCTGATTTGGTTTCTGCTTAATAATAGCATTTTGTTCATATTAGGAAAATAAATCCAGTTACTCATTCAGAATATATTTCCCAATAAAGTAGCTCTTTTAACTGAGAATTATTTTTCTTTTTGTTTTGCATAAAGATAAAATGTCCGTGTTTGAAAAACACAATGGCCAATTGTTTCAGAAAAACAATACATTAGCTGAAAAAACAGTAAAAAGACTTGTAATTCTTTAAATTAATGAACTAAATTAAATATTTTTTAAAACAAAATGAAAAGATAAAGCCAGTGTATTCTTCTCTACTCATTCATTTCACAGTGAACACATGTTAGTTTTAGGTAAATCCTCTGTATAGCCTTTTTGTACTTTTATCTGTAGATTGTGCTATCATGCTATCAGGTCACTTAGCTTGAACTAAGTGGTAAAAATTAATTGTTTTTATTATATTTTTTTTAAATACCATGATCTATTAATGCCCATGTTTTTTTAATAGAGCATGTTATTGCTGTATTAATGCCATTAATCTTAGAAATTGTCTATTTTAAATCATTACAAGAAAGATTTTAATACCTAAATCATAATTGCTCTTGGAAACAAGGTCAGGAGAACCAGTATGTTTCACACTATATAATTGTTTTGGTCTGATTCTCCTTAAATGTTGGTTCGTTTTCCAATGGCTTCCAGTTATTGCAGCACACTAAGAGTGGAACAGGAGATTGAAGATTTTGTTAAAGTAAAAACTCCAAATGAAACTTTTTGTTTTCCCCCCAAGAAAAAGCTGAAAGCACCTTCCATTGCAAATTCACACATGGTCCATCCTTTCATCTCCAGTGGCTTTTACATATGCGAAGTACGGTTTATCAAACCCTGTGTGTGGTTGTGCATTGTAATCTTGAGGTAATGCAAGTTTATTTATTGTAAAAATAAAAGTGCAGATTAAAGCTTGTGTTCTCTCTTGTAAATTATTGTAAAATAGAAAATAAAGCCATAAAGTGACAGCTAAGGTAAATGAGTTGGAAAAAGACATCCTGTTTCATTTTTTAATTTTAAAAGTGCCAGGAGATCTACATCACTCTGATATGTTAATGCCTGCTGCCGATTCTTAATCAGACAGACAAAAAACCTTTTCTAAATCTAAAAAAATAAAGCATACATACTCTTAAATAATCAAAAAGCAGCCGTCAGAGTTGCCAAGCACTACATTGAGGAAGTAAGTATTTGAACACCCTGCGATTTTGCCAGTTCTTCCACTTACCAGCCATGAAGTGATTGACATGTTCATCAACTAAGAGAGAATTAATCCAAAATAATAAAACATACAGAAATCTCAAGGAATTAAGGATTTAAAAAAGATGTATCTGTATATAACTGCTGCAAATAAGTATTTGAAAATATGATAATATTTTGTACAGTAGCCTTTATTTGCATTAATTAAATTCAGTTTATTTATATAACACCACATCACAACACATCATCTCAAGGCAGTCAAATTGATTCTAAGTTTTCTCTCTAAGGAAAACCAGTTGATTGCATCGACTCATTGACTCTACAGCAATCCCTCACACTAAGCATGCTTGTAGTGACAGTGGAGAGGAAAAACTCCCTTTGAACAGGAAGAAACTTCCAGCAGAACCAGGCTAAGTTCTAGTGGCCATCTACCGAGGCTGACTGGGGTTTAAAGAGACGGAAGCAGAGATACAAAAAGCAGCTGTAAAAGGCGGCCCCGTCCAGGAAACACACAGCCAGGCAGACGAGCTCCGAGCCAGCTCCCATGTCAGAGGATGAAGAGAGCACATCCACTCAGTCACAGTCAGAGAAACAGGACCACACTGGAAAACAGGCCGATCTCCAGCATCTATAAACAAAGGTGTTGATGGCAGCAGCACAGCTGATATTTCTCTACACCATGAAGTCAGCCGGACAGGAACAGACGAGATTCTGCAGAGTGGGAGAATAGAGATAGAATGAAGCACAATGATGAAACGGGGATTCCTATGTCCTCCAGCAGTCTAAGCCTATAGCAGCATAACTATAGAGATAGCTCAGGATAACCTGAGCCACTCTAACTATAAGCTTTATCAAAAAGGAAAGTTTTAAGCCTAGCCTTAAAAGTAGACAGGGTGTCTGCCTCACGGACTAAAACTGCTAGTTGGTTCCACAGGAGAGGAGCCTGAGAGTTTCACAAAATTCTTTAAACTCTCCTGGTTTCTTCTTGGCAACACAAAGCCTTTCTCTACACCAGTCTGGCTACAATCACCCATTCAAATGGTTAATACAAAGAAACAAAAAGTTCAGACAAAAAAACTTTATTTTTCATTTGTAACAAAGACTTGTTTGTTGGTAGATGTATATCTGTTGTTTCATCACACTTTTTGTCCTGGCTTATTTTAGCCAAACTGGTTTCAGAAGCTCAACAAAGACTTTATCAATTAAAATAAATATTTTAATCATGTCTTAAATTATTTACACCTCAATGGAAAAACAATAACAACAAATTAAATTATGATAAACACATTCAATATACTTTGATTGGATCAGACTGCTTGAGCTTAACTTCCTGGAGCTAAAGATAAACTAGGAAAGCAGGTAAATCAGTTTTTGTAAAAGGGGTTCATTTAAAACTGAAATATCTAGCAAGTTTAAGATTTGTACCCACTTAGGATCAAGTTTAAAAACAATAAAAAAAATATATAAAAAGACATAAATACAATTAGGAACACAACCTGCATTTGGTCACTGGTGATTTTCCACTGAAACTGACAAAATCTTTAAAATAGAACAGTTGAAAAGTCTTAAGGCTGTAGTGAAGGTGTTGCAGCCAATAAGAGGTAGAACAGCTGGCGTGCACTGCTGCTAAGCTGGCTGAAAGCTCTTTTCACACTAAGGATTGCCACCCATGACTCTTTTTAAGGTAACACTTTCTGATCTACAGTCAAATAATCACTGAGTAGTTGAATGTTTTGAATTAAAGCAATCTGAAAATTGTTCCTTAACTGTACCAAATCCACAACACTGCGAGCGATCAAATCTCATATCGGCTGAACTGATTCTCTGTGGTTCAGTAAATTTAGTAAATGACACTTGGTGAATTCAATTCTACTTTATAAAGAAAACTATATTTGCATATTTATTTTCTACAAATAAGAGTACTTTAAATAATAATTTAGGGCTGAAACAATCAGTTTAATCTTGAGTAATCTATCATTAAATGGAGTACAGAGACTCTAAAAGACGCCTTTAGCTGACAGAGCGACCCACTTAGAGCGTGAATTACACAAAGATTGTAAAAATATATAAACATTTTGCATTTATGATAGAAAAAAGGTTTTAATCTGTCGATGTGCTCTAACCACAACTCCTCCATTGGAAAGTTTTAGTTTAAACTGGTGTAATTTAGTACGAAAATTTCTATAAGGAACCTTTTGCTCTCTGAGTATTAATCAAAAAATAATCGACAGATTAATCAATTTGCAAAATGATTGTTAGTTGCAGTCCTAAATCATTTAAAAGGCTCCTTCATTTAACATTAATTAAAAAGATGTGCGTAAACTAGCAGGCTCTCCATTTAAATAACATCCTGGCTGCATAATTTTACACCTTGTGGAATATGGTCATCTGAAACAACTTAAGTCAAACACAAAGGACTTATAAATTTATCAAACATAAAACAAAAACGTTTGGGTCACAAATGTTCAGAAATTCAATCCCTGAAGCAGATTTTTCTAAATCTGCTATTTGATTATAACGTAAGGCTTTGGTCAAGTTTTAATACCCAACTCCTTCATCTGTTGGGTAGAAATGCACAAACAAATCAGGTGGTGACTTTCAGCTTGATTAGCCCCAACAGGTGACTAGCCTGTAGAAAAACCTAAAAATCTAATTTTCTGAATGAAAAGTGAATGCAGCGTACCTAGAGGCTGACATGCTGCTCTAAAAGCTCTCAGGTGGGGAAGTTGTTCTGGAGTGAAGAAGACCATCAGTCAGATATTGGTGGTTTACAGACGCCGTTTAAAAGGAAACTATTTACTATGCGATTTTTAGACGGCTGGAGGAGGAGAGTAAAACTTTTAGCAGATAACAGGAAGGTTGAATGGACAAAAGCGAAGCTTCTCAGTTTTATCACGTTCTTTTTGGATTCCCAGGCAGACTGACAGTCCCTCTGCTTTAGAGTAGATCATTAAAGACTGCTCAGGACAGGAAGGCTAGGAAAAAACATTCTAAATTTGTGTTTGTAAATTTGGTCAAATTAAAATAATCAAGGGAAAAAAACGCATTCAGCTAAAATCTGTATGAGTTGGCAAGAGCTCAAAAACCCCACAGAGTTTTGATGGGTGCATCTCTTTTCCGCAGGAGACCACAAACCATCCATCCCTCAAACATTTGCCTCTGGGAAGTTTACAAATGTTTCTTCTGCCTTTTGGCAAAGAGATTTGGCTGACAGCTCTTGAAACTTTGGATTTATTCATAGTCTGGAGCTTTGCAGGACCATCAGGTGAGCTCCGTCTGCCTAGTCTGCGGGAGCAGAAGAGCCACCACTCCTCCCGTCAGCAGCAGAGCTGACACCAGCAGGATGGGCATGGTGCAGTTGGAGTCCACCAGCTTTCCAAAGACCACGTTGCCCATGATGGCTGCCACTCGGCCAACCCCGGTGAAGAAGCCCAGAGCAGAGGACCTGGGAGGACAGGAAGTTAAACACCTTTTAGGCATCAATCCACAATCAGTAATAGGTTGAATTTAAGGTTTTGAAGATGTTACCGGAGCTGGGTCGGGTAGAGCTCAGTTCCCACCACGTCCAAGGCGTTCCAGGCAATGACAGACACGCCGCTGAAGATGCAGGACAGAGCCAGACTCTGGGCTTTGGTCTGAACCACATAGATGAGGAAGACGCTCAGGCTGGACACAAGCAGGCTGCAGGCTGGACGGAGAAGTTACCGTTTGCTGGAGTTCTGAGCAAAGAGAGGTAGTGAAAAACAGACTTACAGAGCAGAGTCTTCCCGCCTATGCTGTCCATGATGAGGATGGTGAAGATGTTTCCTGGCAGGTTGGAGGCAGCGATTGTGAAGCCCTCCATGTACACTGTCAGGTGGAGAGAGGAAACAGTGAGGAGAAGCATCAATTCACCAGAAACAAAAAAACTTTACTCATGTATAAAAAAAACAAACAAACACAAACATCAACTTTGGGATGAAAATAGTTTTTTAACATTCAAACTTGGACTTCATTGTTACACAAGTCATTAATTTGATAAAAACACATTAATAAAAGCTTAATTCATTTTTTATTATCGATTCTTTTTGCCAAAGATCTTTATTAGGTAGGAAAAATTTAATAAAGCGACAAGATCTGGGAAAACAAATTATTAAGGTTAATTAAACTATAGAAATAATGATTTTGATTTATTTGCAAGAAATATTTATTTGATACAATAAAAATATTTGAAAATTCATAAGGCCAACTCTTATACAAACCCTCCTTGAAATGTTAAGCAAAATTATTACCAGGTGAAATATGACATATTTGACGAATATGAGATCAAAGGATTGCCCAGTAACACGAACAAAGAATAAACTTTTTGTCTTAAAAGTTTAAACACATGAAGCCAAAAAAAAAGATTCAATTCAGTTCAGTTTATTTAGATCAATTATTAATTAAAAAACAAATACTACAAAGTTGATGCTTCCAAATGGCTTGATAGTACATATAATAACCATGTTAAGAATAAAAATTCTGTCCCTGGGATACCCCAGGGACAGAAAAACTGTCCCTGGGGTATCCCAAATAATTTTAGGGAATAAATTTCCTGCACATCGCTACCCTGCAGCAGCTAGACAATCCTGAAATGATTTTCTCGTACTGCTTCCATGCGTGTTCTGTAAGCATGGAGAACTTAATTTTCCCTGCCAGGCTGTAACAACCAAACTGTTCTGCTCCTACAGAACAGCTTTAGGAGGATTTGCATCTTTTTCTTGACAAACGTTAAATGTTCCCCTTCCTCTGCTGCTTTCCAGAAATGCTTCTAATGCTGCTAAAATTGAAAACTTATGAAAGAAAGTCAGAAACTAGGTCATTTTCTGCTACTTCAAATAATATAAAGAAACCAATTATTTATTCCCAATTCAATAAACATTTTAGAAAAACATTAAGTTACCTACTTAAAGACCTGAGTTTTGAAAACCTTGATAAAGAGGGCTCCCACCTGCTGTCTTGACTGGGTAACAGCTCTGGTTGTTGAGTGGAGACGGGAGGGACACGTTGGCACAAGGAGAACCACCGCTGCTCTCGATCCGAGCAAACAGCTCAGGGAACCACATCCACAGTCCGTAGTACCTACACAGAACAACAGGTGTCAGTGGTGAGTCTGGAGAAGAGTTAGCCGTTAGGAAGCAGTCCTGGCTGCAGAAGATAAAAGACCTTCCAGGCGTTATCTGTGGGTCTGCGGAGCAGCCATCAGCAGACCTGTTTATGCTCACAACCCTTGAAGGAAAGCCAGAGTGGAAAGGAGGCAAAGCGACGACGCTTCTCACCCAAAGGAGATGCAGTAGAAGATGATGAGCAGGACGATGCTTCTGGCTCTGATAGAACCACTGAATATATGCTTGATGGGAAGCAAGCCCTGCAAGATTAATAATATAAAGTAATTAACACGGAGGTTCCCAACCCTGATCCTCAGGGGCCCCTGCTCTGCTTCTTACAGATGCGTCTCTGTTCCATCACGCCTGATTCAAAGCAGGGCTGCAGAAGCCTGTTAATCATCCGTTCATTTCTGGTGTGATGCAACAAGGAGTAACCCAAAACATGCACGGCAGGGTCCCTGAGGAGCAGTACGGGAGCAAATGAATTAACAACAATTGAGGATAAGGAGAACAAAGTACTAACAGCAGTTTGATTTATTTTATTGGGAGTTAAATGTCAAATAACAAATAAAACGTGGTGGTGGCAGCATTATGCTTTTTTTATGAGTTTATTTTATTTTTTTTAAATCAACTCATGAATTCATTGAGGTTTGTTGTTGGAAAGATTTCCTGAATAAATGTTTCCAGTTCGGAAAATTAGAAGCTGCTGCTTTTAATTGAAAGGATTTCTGAATAAAACAGATTTTATTTCTACTCTCCACATTTTCTTCTTATTAAAAAACAGGAAGCTGGAATGAAACCTTTTCCAGAATCTTACCTGTTTTAAAAAGCGTATGAGGAGCATACTCTTTGTATCCACAGACCCTTTCTCTATGATTTCCCCTCTTTGATTGGAGTTTGTATGCAAAGCAAATTCCTTAAAAAAAAAAATCAAGTTTCACCTCAGAGTGACATTTGGTTTATATGGTGAAGTTATGAACCATGCAAGGTCAACTCTGCATACCGGAAAAGGCTTTTCTGTTCCCTTCATATTCAGCTGGAACATCAGCTTGAAAACATGGATCGCCTCTTTTTCCCGACCAGCCTGGAACAAAAAAAAACCCTAAAAGTTCAGAGAGAAGCTTCAGAGAAAGTGAAATGTTGGTCTGCGCTTCAGGTACCTCCATGAGGAACTTTGGGCTCTCAGGCATGAGGAGCTTGAAGAGGATGGCGGATGAGATGCTGGGAATGGAGCAGAGAACCACAAACAGCCTCCAGCTCTGGAAGTCTAAAGACCCCAGAGCGAAATGGGCCCAAGTTCTAGGAATCACCAACCAGGCCAGACCTGCACAGAGTTTGAAAAACAACTAAAAAAAGTAACAAACCATTGTTTTTATAATTCTGAACATTTTTTTCTACTGATACCAGAAACAACTGTTACACCTCTCTTCTTCAAAACAGCATCCTTTGAATCCTTTTAATGTTGGTTTATTTGTTCAACCCTAACCTGTTTGTCAGTCCCACCTGCAGCCAGGATGTTTCCTGCCATCCAGAAGGTGGCGAGAGCGCTGATCATTGCGCCTCTCCTCAGCCGGGGCATGAACTCTGAGAAGTAGGAGAAGATGACGGGGATGGAGCCACCAACCCTACAGAGCAGAACCAAGGGAATGAGTCCAACAGGACAACAATTCTACTTTCTCACTGATTTTTATTTTATTTCTGACACATTTATGGATTTTTTTTCAGACAGTGAAAGAGATGCACCAAAAAATAGGCAGAAACTCAAAAAGTCAGAGGAAGAGCAAAACTGATTTAATAGGAAACTATTTGTCTGTTTGTGTCATTTTCTATCCAGCTTTATCCAGATAGAGGAAGGAGCAATCGGCAGCGTTTGGACCTTCTTTACAGACACCAGGAAACAGCAAAGCGGCTCCGTCTTTCACAAGTGCTACGCTCTGCTCCTCATCTATACGCTAACAGCTGCCAACATTTACCCCTCGTTTATAAGCCTCATTTATCAGCCAGGGACAAGTGGTCCAAAACGGGGACTGTCCCCAGAAATCGGGGGTGTCTAGCTCGTAGATCTTTTGTCAAAGAGAAAACAAAACAAATTATCACAGCACCTCCAGTTTAAAATGACTTCCAGTGGCCCTGGATGACTGAAGAAGCAGTGAAAGAAGCCATCTTGGTTTAAAGAATTGAGGTGTGAGCTCTTAGTCAGTGTCATGAAGATTTAGAACTGACCAAGACTCCTGGATGGCGGTCCAAACATGTTTGCCTCTGATTTAAGGCTTTGGTGTTTGTTTTTGTGGCTGCCATGACGCAGAATATTGAACATTTGTACAGTCACCACTTGTAAGAGATGACAACCTTTAAAAAAATGAGTTTGAGTAAAAGGAAAGCAGATTTAAACTGCTGTTTAAATGTGCTAAAGGCTAATCAAGCTATTCACTAATAAAATCTGTTAAAGTAAAAGTTTTGAAATCTCATTACCAATTAAATTTTTTTTATTATCTATAAAAAATATGGATCAGTTGAAATCTCTGATGGCAGGTGAAGCAAAGATCGGTAATCAGCCGTAAACCTCCTGTAGAAATAAAAAGGCGAACAGTAGTGAGCTCACCCGACGCCGCTGATGAACCGCAGTAGCAGGAAGAGCCAGAACCACGGAGCCAGGCTGGCCAGACCCCCAAACAGCCCGTTAATGGCCAGAGAGACCACCAGGACCTTCCGCCGCCCCCTCAGGTCAGCCAGATATCCCCACATGTAGCCACCAAACATCATTCCTGTAAAAAATGACCACGGTGCAGTTAAAAAATCTATAACAGCTTTATTTTCACTGCTGCAACTTATCTAGTTTCACAATTTGTTCACTTTAAGGCCGTTTCAAAGGAACAGGGATCACCCTTGGCCTGTTCTGAACAATTTGATTAGAAGTGGGGTTTGTTCCTGAAATTATTAATAAGTAGAGTTTAACTTAAGGACATTAATCGTTTTTATTAAAGGAAAAGTCAGGTCACATTCAGAATTATTTACTTTAAATATGAAATGATTACATACCGTTCAATAAAATGTAAGTGTTTTAATTAAGAGTAATTTTCATGTGAATGTGCTTTACTGGAGGCATCCATGTTTGTCAAAGAACACTACTGCCACCTACTGGTTTGTGACGTCACGGTGCGGTATCGGCTGTTGATCAAGTCCCAGTGCTGTATCTGGTGTTTGTCACAACGCGCTATTATCCAAGTCATCTTGAAAACATTCTTCTTCCAAATGTTGTCTACATATTACGTGTTTTTTCTCTGGCCAGAAGTTCGATGGCAAATCCTCCCTCTTTAAGTTGGCAATCATACGACCAACCGTCCGTGGAGGATCAGGAATCAGAAAGGTGGAATAACTCTTCTTTCCACTTTTACCCGATGTATTCCAACATCCAGCTGCCATGCACGTGGGCATTGTCAGTTTCACTATAGCTCTGGTGAATTTCAATGGCGAAGTCCTCTGGAAATCTTCAATAATTTTTGTTGATTGCAGATGTGTCTAGTAGTTCCCATTGATTCTGCTTGTAAAGCGGGGAGAATGGCGCTAGGCTTATCGCACCGTGACGTCACTGCTGGAAGATGTCAGGAGGGAGGGGTTACTGGACTCAATGATCACGACGAAAATATATTTTACATTTTTTTTTACCGATTAACGCAAAATTCATTAAATCACTGCAAACATATTAGTTTTAGGTATAAATAATGATCCATTGATTATTCCATGCTGACTGGACTTTTCCTTTAATTAATCCAATTTTGTATATTTAATTCAATTCAATTTCAATTCAATTCAGTTTATTTCTATAGCGCCAATTCCCAACACGTCATCTCAAGGCACTTTACAGTTCAACCAGATCATGCAGTCAAATTGATTCAAATTTGAATCAATCAAAACACCATATCCATCAGTATATGGCATTCTCACTTTTGGATAATTGAGATTTTTTTTCCACCAATCTGCTTCCATATCTGTTCATCACGGTTTTCTTTTAGATGTGTACTTATATCTGATAAACTAGCTGACATTGTGATCCTACCAGCTAGCATGGCACAGCCAGACTGATACGCCATGTATATGGCTAGCTACTGGCTGCTAACATATAGTCTGTTTATATTTTCATTGTTTGTTTTGAAAAATGAATGTTTTAAAGCTTTTTTTTTTTACAGATAAATTTTGTTCCCATTTTAAATTAAGGTCACCTTCCTGAGGGAAAGCAGTACATGCTGTTTGTTTATTATTTATTATGTAACTTAAAGCTGCAGTCTGTAACATTGAGAAGAGAGCAGACTTCGACTGAAAATTTGAAGAAAAACAGGTTTCACGCCACTCCCCCACCCTCTCTGCTTCACTCATGACCCACCTCCAAGCCCCACCCTCTCACCGCTTCTGCGCGGCTTCCGCATGCGACCAGAAGCGTCCAAGCAGCGTACGCGGCAGCTCTTCAATTGACATCTTCTTCTTTGAAGTCTTTGCCGTGTAAGCAGTTGTCGGCAGGGGCAGTAAGGGCAGTTTCTCTTTCGCTGGTGGCTGTCGCTCCGCCATGACTTCCATGCGCGTCCTCCTGACTGCAGCAGCCGGGCGGCAGGTTCAGCGATGAGAGGGAGGGGGCGGGATTCAGCATGTGTGAGCTGTAATTGACACTCCATCAGACGCTCCTCTGGCTGTGATTGGTTGTTTTGTCTCGTCCCGAAATATTCTTTCCAGATTGCAATACAGGCAGTAGGCGGGACCAATTGAAGCAGTTTTTTTCACAGGTTACATATCACATGTACTGCTGTCTGGGCATAGGGACAGTTTTAGCCAATATGACAAAAAAGTGATTTTTTAAAAACTTACAGACTTCAGCTTTAAGTTAAACTTCTGAAGCCATGAATGTAAAACAAAAGAGATAGAAATAAATCATATAGACTCTGTAAACATAAACAGGGGTTAATAATCTTTACATCTTCTAAGAAGTCTGGTTGGAATATCCTAGTAAAATGGGTAAATACTGCAGGTCCGATGTGAACGTAGGAGCTGGAATTTGTTCGGCCCGCCTGTTTGTCAAGAATGGATATATGTTAGCCTGAATGACCTGATGACGATTAAATATTTTAAAATATTGAGAACGCAGCTTTTTATGCAGAAAGTCTTTATACTGTCTGTATCATTTGCATGATAATGAAGGATACTCAGCTTCTGCCTTTTTTTTAATTCCTTAAATTAAAATTGAAGCTTTAAAACATTCCTCTGCAAATCAGGACTATTTTCAAAGATTCTAAATAAAGTTAAACCGTTTTGATAGACATTTAACTGCAAAAGAGTTCTACCTTTTCATCATATTCCTCCAGTCCTAGATGTAGAAATAGAAATGTATTTATTGTATTCATTAAACGATCCATCTATAGTCAAGTGTCAAACCCTCGTACAGAGATGTGAACAGATGTTTGTTTCTTTCTCTCGTCTCATATCATCTTTATCGCTTGGAAATTCACTGAATTCTGATTTTTTTCTGTTAACTTAAACCAGTTGCCTTAATTAAAGACTCATTTGTTGTTTTACGTTTTCTTGTAAGAAGACTTAGAGGTTATTTTAAATTAAAACCTTTTCTCCATTTTTTTTTCAATAAAAATAAGCCTGGTCTACAAAGGAAACCAATATAATTTGGTTTTGCTACTCAAGAACAGGGAAATTGGTACTAAAATGTGCAAATAGTCCTACTGCAAGTAGCAGCTAAAGTTAATGAAGAACAATGTTCAAACAAGAGCAGAGGTTCAAAAAAACATTGTGTGTTTTGCAAAATGTGTTGCACAATTGAAATGATAAATCAATAGACTAACAGTGGAAAAGCAGACAGAGCTTCAGTTTGTTCTAGCTAATCAGGCTGAAGCTGCTGTTCAGACCACTAAGTAACGAATGATGGTTTTTTCAGTGTTTCACCGAGGAAAATGCTGGCGGTGAGCAGGCCCATGTCCGAGGAGCTCAGCAGCAGATCGCAGCGCGCCGTGGGCAGCAGGAAGGACACGCACAGGATCTCCACGGCATCGCTGGCGTTGGCCCAGCCGCACACCACCAGCAGCAGCCAGTGGAACAAACCAAAACCTGAGAGCAAAGCAAGGACAAACAGGAGACACGTTAGCCAGTAAAGGCTCATCCAGAAGACTTAAAGGGCTTTTCTTTTCCTTCTTCCACATCTGTCCACGGATCAAATCAAAGTTTTACTTCTAAACACCACGCATGTTTAAAAATAAGATGCAGATGTCGCTATGTCATATTAAAGGTATAGAGGACGCTCTTTTATTTCCGGGTGGATCATCTAAATAAGTGGTCCTCTTCATTGTCAATCATTCTGGTGAAATGTTTATGTAAGGCACTTGTTCTGTCAGACCAGCATATATATATATATGCAGGCGTCAGATTTGCATACATGCATGCTAGTCCTGTTTATCCCTTTGGTTTATCCCCCTTTATCCCTTTAGTTTTGTACGAAAAATACACCTTAAACTACCTTGACGGATGTGTATCCCTTTAGCCATTGACAAAAAGAAAAACGTTTTAAGTTCAAGACCGCCATATGCTTAAAAAACTCCAAAAGGTAATAAAATAGCTTTTTGCACATGCGCACTTTCAGCCATGTGGTGAGCTACGGTTTCAGCCAGTCATTCAAGCTCACTTCTCATCGGTCTTAAAAGAAAAAGAGTCTATGAAGTGTATGAGAAGAAAAGAAAGGCCTCAGATAAGGCAGATATATAGCATAATGCTCTGCGCGGAGAGGTCTCTGTGCAGAGCATTATGGGATAGATCTATTCATACTATACATACTAAAGAGCCATTGAGCTTTTGCTCTCAGTCACTTCCATCTCTGCCTTACAACCGATGTCTGATGGAAACAAGGTCAGGACAAAGCAAGGCAGAGGTGGGGGGGAAGAAAGCAACGTGAAACGACGCCAATGTTTCCAGAGCAGAAAGTGAACTGGGTCTCTAAGGCTACGTTCCCCCTGCAGGCCTTGATGCTATATTATGATTTTTTTTTTTTTTATCCGATTCTTTTGCATGGTCGTTCACATTTCCAAATATATGCGACTTGAATGCGATCTCCAGTGTGAACTGCATTCATACAACTTAAAGGTATAGAGGAGGATCTTTTATTTCCAGGTGGATCATCTAAATAAGAGGTCCTCCTAACTGTCAATCATTCTGGTGATTTGTTCATGTAAGGCGGTCCTATGTGTTTACGAAGTGTATGAGAAGAAAAGAAAAGCCTCCGAAGAGGCAGATATATCCTATAATGTTTTGCACAGAGAGCTATGACAGCATGTGCAATGACAGCACGGGATTTGCTGTCATAGCGGTCACTACTGTTGTCACTACCCGACAGCAGCAACTAATACCAAAGATGGCGCGGGCACCATGCAGTGGAGGAGGAGTTACTTGACCAACGGGAAGCAAAAAGCAGCGATCATCTGTCCGAACGGTCAGTTAACTGAGTCCACTATGAAGTCCACTGTATAGTCTCCGCTCTGTATAGTGATTGAGGGATTTAGGGGTTAGTGCGGTCATTCGGACACAGGAAGCTTGTATGAACAATGAGAACAGCAACTTTTAAACAGAGCGTGCACGAGGAGAAATGCATGCTCTCTCAAATGCATTTAATATGCGTTCCCTCTCGGAAGCAGGTACAGGGTTGTGCATGTGCATTTTAATTAATGTGGAAAGGGCAGGTCTTTAAAAAAAATAAATCAAATAAATCATCCACAATACTTTTAATAGATTTTAATTTTATCTCAGCATGATTTATAAAAATGTATAGATTTTTGTCTTTTGTTTTTCCCAAAGGCTGAAAGATGAAGCTTCATTACAGCATAAAACAGTGATAAAGGAAAACTTCAGATTACCTGCTTCTTCCACCGCCTCCTCATAGCTCAGCCTTTTGGTTCCAGCTTCATCAGAAACGCTCGCCGCCGCTCGGTTAAAAATGACCTCGCCTGTAAAAAAAATAATATATATAAAAAACAGGACTTTTTTAAAAACTTTGTAAATTAAACCCTGAAATAAATGATGACCTCAGCAAAGGTATAATTTGGATTTTATTTAAGACTGTAAAACAATAAATAAATAAATAAAAGGCAGCAAGTTTAAGCAAATTCCAAAAATAACTAAGGATTGCATATAAAACATTACAGGGAAATAAAGGAATATTTTTGCAAAAGAACAGTAGCGGCTAAGTTTCTTTCTCATTTTCATATAATAATAATTTTAACTACCAACATCTATTTTGACTGTTTTCTTAATTGAGAGTGCTTTTATTATTTAAGCAGAAGATTATGTTTATTGGAATAAAACAAATTAAGTTGTGGCAAAAATCCAACAATAATCCTGAATTCACAGCAAAGAATTCGTTTTTTGGTCTTACTTTTAACCAAACTTTTTATTTAACTCTCACCGTGTGACTGTAAAATAATTGATTCATTTTGATGAGCTGATACGATAGAGCAGAGGTTTGGAAAAGGAAGCTCCCTAGAGATGTTAGGAATCAGCTGATTGCTTCTATTGATTACCCAGGATTACATGTCTCATGTCATTACTTTAAAGAGATGTCTGCCTTATAACATCCCCCATCCTCAGAGTCTATATGCAACAGTTCTATGGATGGAAAAATAAGATCATGACATCGATATTTAAAATAATGCTAAATAATCTTGGTTTTCTGTGAACATGCAGACAGCATGAGGTCATCTGTTTGCTCACCAGCAGAATTGTATATTTTGACATTTTGAAGTGAAAAAGCTTCCTGGATGGGAACAGAAACCTCTTAAGACTTAGAAACAAAGTCCAGTGGATTGTTTTTTAAACTTCTTTGAAAAAGTTTTAGAGCTGTCAGATCTTTGCATCCCTAAATCCCTTCTGATCCCATTTTAGAAATCTACCAGCAGCCTTCATGCTTTTCTTTTATTTATTTACACTCTAACCTAAATAAAAGAGAGATTAACTTTTAAAGTTTCTACTGATGAATGAAAGCGCTCACTTGTGTTTTTTCATAAAGTTATAAGGATCCATAGCAGCCATCCATCGTTTAAGTTTGATGGAGATTTACCTTCATCCGAGTCCAGCCCGGTTGGATTGAGCGGATCTCCGCCGAGCAGCGGCCTGCTGGCCTCCCGGTCTGCGCCGCTGACACCGCGGGACATTCTCCCGCTGACAGCCGCTGTTCCTCTGGTCCTGTGTGGGAGATGTGTTCCTTCAGCTGTGGCTGAGTCTCATAACAGCTGAGTGACGGGCTAACACCGAGGCTAGCCTCCCACCACAGCAGCAGCAGCAGAAGAAGAAGAAGGAGGAGGAGGAGCAGCAGGAGAACCAGGAAGTAAAAAAGGGCAGCCGCGGTTTCCACGTCCTGGGCGCAGCGTCTCCGCTCCTCCTGCTCGGTGCTGTCAATCTGCAGACAGCGGGCGGCGTGACGGTGCTCTGGCCTCGGTATTAGCGGCTACCTGACAGCCACACACAAATAAACAGGTTGTAGCGGTTAGAGGGGGTAACTTTACCTCCGCTTCGCTTTTTTTGGTTTTATTTTAAAAAAGAAAGCGAAGATGGCGACCAGCTCAGAGCGCAGCCCTCCTCCGTTCCCAGACACCGAGGACCAGGATGCTCAGGATCCTGAAGAAGTCCGAGGCCGAGACAGCGACGAGGACGACGGTGAAGAACTTTTCCTGAGTGCGGTACGTCTCCCCGGAGCGGTGGTCAGGCTAGCTGTTACCAACAGGGGAGCTAACAGCTGCTGCTCACCGAGACTCATCAACTCAACCCCTCTGGACACATCGCTTTGCTCTCTGGCTTAATTTAACCCAAACCTTCCGCATAATTTTATAATGAAGCGGAGCAGCAGCGGCTCTCTCCTACCTTTCTCCAAACAGCTCCGACTGTATTTGAACGCATCAGCGCCTTTCTAAAAGTTTCATATCACGCGGAATTTGATCAGCAGTTTTTTTCTAATCAACTTCCCATTAGCTTTCTGAAACGTGTGATTTGGGTTATGTTGTTTTGGGTTTTTTTTTAATCGCACTTCCACTATCCAGCGTGGACTTGCAACTAGCCAGATTTTTTTAGGGTGTGCTGCCTTCAAGGCCACGCGTGGGTAGCGTTAGCTAGAGCCTGGAGTCGGTGGCTTGATCGGCAGTCTGTGGTTGGTTAAGGGCATTTCTGACTGTTTTCCAGGCTGTTTTAATTCAGTTTGCATGGAGCTGGTAAAGCTGGCTCCTTCTTCATTCTATCACGTGAACCTGCAGTGGTCACGTGGTCAGAACCCGGATGTTTCTCAGTCAAAAGTTCAGATGAAAAACTGCAAAAGTTGCTGCCTTTTTCCTCTCTAAGGTTTGACTCATCACTGCAGTCAGCATTTTTTGATGTTTCAGTTAGCAGAGCTGCTTTCCTTTTTTTTTGTTTGGGGGGGGGGGGGGGTGATCTGGGTAATCTATCAACTCAGAGTTGCCTGGAAGGGGATTTGCAACTACACCCAAAAAAACTTGTCTGTTTCCCACGGGCAATCGTTGTGGTTTTTCTGTTTGTTTTTTCCCTCCTGCAGCAAACTGTGTTTCCTAACAAAGATTTAGCAAAGTGTGGCCATCAAAGTCAATAAAGGAACCAGGTGTAATTTCAGATGTATTGTTTAGCTTATTTGAAAAGGCATCATGGTGAGATGGGCCTGTTCCTCTTCAACCTGAGCTCTGGACGCCCATCAGGGCATTTTGTTTTTGTTCCTCTCACTATAGCTGCCTAGTAAAATGTTTTACAGTCCTTGAACTTTCCACATGTCGTTATGAGCAGAGGAGTTGGTGACACAACCCCTTTTATTGGGTTGTGTCACTACTTTGTAGAAGCAGTCTGAGCTTCTTTGGGATCTGTTTCTGCCGGGTCAATAACTGCTCATTACGGTTCCTTTGGTTGAAGGAACCTTTTTACTCTTTTAGCAAAGTTAAAGGCAATTCTTTGTGTTATTTAAGTCAAAGTTACAGCTTCTAGAAGCACCTTTTCTGTAAGAGAGTCACTTCTTGGGTCCCTCTTTACCTTGACATCCACCTGTTTAGCATTGGTCTCTTGTTCCTCCTCTCAGAAACAAGCTTGAATCCAAGAATCTGACGCAGTAGTGACTGTTTGCTGCTCTGGTAATCCAGCCGGCTGCTTTGGATGTTTTGTTCTTTCATCAGTTGTATCCAAGTAAAAGGGAATAATGTTTTGTTTTCTCTCCCTATGCACTATTATTATTGAATAAATAGAGAACGGGGGGTTTGTGCTGCAGGATTGACAGCTTAGGTGTTGCCAAGTTTTGCTTTTGTTGTTCCAAGTTGATGTTTATGTAAAGATAATAATAGTAAACCCTCTCCTTTATCTCCAGACCAACACTCCCATGGCCACGAAGGAGAACACGTCTGCACCCGCCAGTCAGCCCATCGACCTCATGAGCGATCCTTTGATGGAGCCCCTCAGCAGCCACACGGAAAACAAATCTCCCTCTGAAATGTTCGAGGACCTGACTAAGGATGTGTCAGCGGCGTCTGCTGCCACAGCAGAGAGCCCTTTGGATCAGGCCTCGGATGATTTCGTTGATGTCCTTGGAAGTAAAGCGGCAGCTGAAAGAGAAGAAGTGGATGTTACAGCTGAAGGCAGCGATGGGGCAACAGATTTACTCGGTGATGGAAAAAGCAATGCCAAACAGGAAACCCCTGCTGCTCCGATAATGGACCTGGGTGGCTCGTCAGACATCAGCACACAGCAACCAGCCGTCTGCGACCCGCTGGTGGACCTTCTGGGGGACTCAACAGCTGCCTCTGCGTCCAGTGCCATAAAACCCAGCGGGGCAGTGATCGACCTCTTCGACGACGAGGGAAGTGACTTTTTCACCGGACCGCCTCCGACTCAAACTGCCAAGCAGCCTCAGAAAAGCCTGTTTGGTGACGGCGATGAGGATCTGTTCGGCGAGCCGCTGGGGGCCGTGTCGAAGAAAGCCACCAGTATGGAGCAGAAGGAGAAATCCGCCCCGGCCCCTCCAGCTGCCGCAGCACCACCTGCAGACCTCTTCACCGAGGAAGCAGTCGGCTCGGCACCAAACAGCAGAGCGGTGAACTCCAAGACCAACGGAGTCCATTCTGAGGAGGATTCAGATTTATTTGCTGGTGGGCTGATGGTTTCCAATCAGTTTAAGTTTATATTTCCTGCTAAATGTGTAAAGATCAAAGTTCAAAGCTAGTTTTCCTTTTTTTTCTTCCTTTCTGTCCATCAGAAGCCACGGTGGAGCTTTCTCTGGATAGTCCAAGGACCGAGAGGAGGAAAGAGGCAGCAACCAAACCCTCCACCTCCGTCTCAGCAACCGCAGGCCTCGCCAAATCCCAGCCTGCTCCCCCAGAAGAGGTACGCGCCCCTCTGGTTTATTCATTCACGTTCCTACCTTTGCCTACCAAGGCGGGGCTCTCTGTAGCCATTAGTTTGGTGTCTGAGGAAGAAGGTGTCGCTTTATGTTTCTGGTTCACATTTACAGATTGAAGAAGAGGAAGAGGAGCTTCAGGATAAATTTGACATTAATGTCTTTGTGAAAGACCCTGAAAAAATAGGTGGGGACATTTTTTTTTTTTGCACCAATCATTATTTATGTGGTTTAATTCATCAGATCTTACTAAATAGAGCCTGATCTTGTTGTTTTCCAGGTGACGGTATGAATGCCTACATGGCCTATAAAGTATCAACACAGGTATGAAGTAAGAGCTAAATAAACCTGCTGCTTGAAGACCGACCTGCTGACATGTTGGCTTTTCCCTGCAGACCACCCTGCCCATGTTCCGCAGCAAAACCTTCACGGTGAAGCGGCGCTTCAGCGACTTCCTCGGCCTCTACGAGAAGCTCTCAGAAAAACATGGTCCCAACGGTCTAATCGTGCCTCCGCCTCCAGAGAAAAGCCTCCTAGGTTGACCCAGTGTGGAAAATCACTCCAATTTAAAAACATACAGTAGTAGCCATTCAGAATTTCCCCTCTTTCTCTGATGGGTCCTTGGCTAGTCCCATACAGTTCCTCTTTAAAAACCTAAAATATCATTTTTTTCATGATCAGACCCTGTAGGTCAGTGAAAGGGTGGAGTTAGAGTACAGAATCATTCCAGTGGCTGGAAGTTGGAGGGGATATTGCTGGGAGTTGCAGGGAAGTAGGCTGGCTTTTGACTGGGAAAGGCCATTTTGAACGGCTGCTACTGTACATTTCATGTGATCAACCAAAGGTGTAGGTTATAATTACTAGCTGGATGTTACTCTCTAAATCAGTGGTCTCCAACCCTGGTCTTCAAGATCTACTGTCCTACAGATTTTAGATGCATCCCTGCTTCAGCACAGCTGAATCAAATGATTGATTACCTTTTCAAGCCATTCATTTGATTCAGCTGTGTTGAAGCAGGGATGCATCTAAAATCTGTAGGACAGTAGATCTTGAGGACCAGGGTTGGAGACCACTGCTCTAAATGATTAGAATCATTAAAAAAGTAGATAAAACTGGTAACAAACTTAACAAAACAAGGACAGGAGGTTTAGTCCCTAGCTTGAATTTTTAAGGCAGTTTTAAAATCTTTTTTCTTTGATTTCTGTTGGACTTTGACTAGGCCACTAGACTGATGTAGATAAGCTGGGGCTGGAAAGCGAAGCTCCAGCATTATCTCAGCTCCATCTGTCTTATCCCCACAGACTAATGCTGCCACCACCATGTTTCATGCTGGGGTGTGAATACTTGTTTTCTTTGTGCAGGGATGACAAAAGTAAAGGTGGGAAAGGAAGATTCCTCATCCGCAGACTTTCATGAAAGGAGGAGGGGTGCTTTGGAAAGGTGAGGATGACTGCCTGGCTGGGAAAACAGTCGTTAAATGTTTCATCAGGATTAACTGAGCCTTGCATTTTTTCCCCAGATATCTCCAGAGGGTGGTGAATCACCCGATGCTCCTGCAAGACCCTGATGTCAGAGAGTTTCTGGAGAAAGAGGAAGTGAGCTGCGTGTTTTATCCTGTCAACAGTAAAAACAGTTTAGATCAGGCAATGATTTAGTCTGATTGATTTTACAGAGAAACTCTGAATGCTGAATTTTCCTCCCATTTAGTTCTGAGGGGATAACGATGGTTTGTTTTTGAGTTGCTACTGATGTTGTGTAACGTGTGTCTTCAGCTGCCCAGAGCTCACAGCACCCAGGCACTGAGCGGAGCGGGATTCCTGAAAATGATCACCAAGGCAACAGATGCTGTCAGTAAAATGACCATCAAGATGAATGAGTCGGATGTGGTGAGTGTGTAAACCTAAATTCCTGATCCTGACATTTTCACAAGAGGAAATCCTCTCTTGGTTTTACAAATTCAAATGTTGTCATAGAGTGGCACCAAAGTTTGATGACAGTTTGGTAGCTTTAATCCTGAAAGCATCAAACAAAAACTGCTTCTGGGTTGTTTAAGGCTCAGCTTCCAGCTTTTGTGAAGAAAGTTTCTGGCGCTTTGTTAGTTAGATTTAGTCATTAGGCATCATATTTTCCTGCAGTGGTGCAACATCGATCAGACAGAACTAAATGAGCTCCTATTGCTGTCAATAACTTCTCAATCCCAACCTGATCTTGACAGAGTGGGCAAAATGCTAACACCAACCAAAGAGGCTAGAAAGAAGGAATTCATGGCTGCAGCCTGTTAATGGAACAGATGGATTTGACAGTTCTGGAAAAAATGAATAAATAAACCTGGTTACCATGGCGGGCGAACAGGGCAGGGTTAACGGAGTCTAGGTTTAGGGCTCCTGTCGCAACTTGCTGATTTAGGCAGCGTATGCCTGACGTCCCGGAATATCCTAAAACACTGGCATACGATGAACTTCTGATGTATTTTTTCAAGTATGGGCGAAAACATAGAGTATTCATAACAAGTCCAAAGCGTATGTCCAACAACAGCCTAACTTATGCATAATGCACATGAAATGATCCTTGTGTATCATTTGATGGGCATTAGAAAGCATCAGTTAAAGCTGCTCCCCTCAGGAGCATCTCTGCACCGTAGGGGAGCAGCAATGCCCTCAGAGGCGCCTGGGCTGCATAAAAAGATGTCTTTGATCGCGGTATTAACCTAGCTGCTGTTTACCAACTGCCAGAAAAAAAAAGAATCAATAAAAAAGAAGGTTTGCAGTTGCAAAAAAAGTTGGTTGGTTGTGAACATAGGTAGGATCCATCACATTCACCTTTTCGCTCACCTATGATGGGGATGCAGGCTGGGGGAGAAATGACGTTTTCCTCAACCCTACATTACTCGTAGTTTCTGGATAGGCTAGACGCCATGACTTATGAGTGATGTACATTTAACGCATGTAAACGATCAGATAACTTACCTTAACTTATGGCCCCACATATGGCGTACACCACAGGAAATTTTGCCGTATGTCAGCTGGTATTTTGTGATGTGATGAACGGATGTGTCCCTGTGAGGAAGTAGCTGCTCATTTAGTTTGTTTTTTGTGCTGTTCTCTTCTAGTGGTTTGAGGAGAAACTGCAGGAGGTGGAATCAGCAGATCAGCAGTTTAGGAAGCTCCATGCTCTGGTTGAGTCCCTGGTTGTTCACAGAAAAGGTAAAGGGAAGCGTTTTCCCGGGACATCCACCAGGATTTCCTCCATTCATGCTTTTTCCCTTCAGCGAATCAGGAAGTATTATATCAGTTTTCCGTTTTTTCCTTCTGCTCGTTCAGAGCTGTCCCTGAACACAGCCAGCTTTGCCAAGAGTGCTGCCATGCTGGGCAGCGCAGAGGACAACACCGCCCTGTCCCGAGCCCTCTCTCAGCTGGCCGAGGTGGAGGACAAGATGGAGCAGCTCCACCAGGACCAAGCTTCCAACGACACATTCAGCTTCGCTGAACTGATCGCAGATTTCACCCGCCTGCTGGGAGCAGTCCGGGTACGTCGGCGAACCACCACTTTACACAGAAACAACAGCTTCCTGGAGCCAGAGGTAGAACGCTGCAGTTTTCTGCCTGCAGGGGTCGTTTGACCAGCGGATGAAGGCGTGGCAGCGCTGGCAGGACGCTCAGGCTATGCTGCAGAAGAAGAGGGAGACGGAGGCCAAACTGTTGTGGGCCAACAAGCCCGACAAGCTGCAGCTAGCCAAGGAGGAGATTGTTGAGGTCTTTATTTTCTTTATTTTCAACACCTTAAGCTACACAAATTCAAAACTGATCTTTGTTTCTGTCCCTGAAAACAGTGGGAGGCCAAAGTGACTCAGTATGAGCAAGAATTTGAGAGAGTTTCTGCAACCGTGCGCAAGGAAGTCGTCCGCTTCGAGGTACAACCTTTTTTTTTCTTTCTAGCTAAACTTCCCTCAGATAAATACGGATGATCCAGTTTTAAATGTCTTCTAACAGAAAGAAAAGACCAAGAATTTTAAGAGGCAGATAATCACATACCTGGAGTCTCTCCTTCAGTCTCAGCATCAGGTGAGTCTGCTTCCCTCCATCATGGCTGGAGGATTTCAACTTTAATGCCTTTTAGGAACAACAACCTGGGGAACAAGTTTTATTAGATTGTTTGCATTTTTTTCCCATCAGAAAAGTTTTTAAATAAGGTTAGATGACAATGGAAACACATGAGCCGATAAACTAACGTCCAAAAACAAAAGGGCCAAATACTAATCACAGGCGTACAGATATATCAATGCATCTTTACATTTTTCTGCTTATCTTCTAATATAAGCAAAAATACTCCTGTTATACATCCAACTCTACCACAGAGAGCCACAATATTTCCTCTGTTTACCTCAAATCAGAGTCCATTGAGCAGTAAGGGACAAACTGATATAATCTTTAAGGATATCAGTTTGGGGATTCTGTGACCACATTAAGGTCACAGAAATCCAGGTCTCCTCCACAGGGAGACCTTCACACCGCCAGAGGAAGGCTGCTGGTTCTAATCTGGGTTCAGAGATGCGTTCATGTCAGGATAACTTTAGTTCTACGTCTGAGTCGGTCAGACGCTCTTCTTCAGACTGATTATCATTTCTCTGTTTCCTACAGTTATCCTGTTCTTCTTGAAGTCATCAAAGCTATATTTTTAAGGGATTTAAATTTGACTGCAGTTTATTAGAAAATATATTTAAAGCAAATCTTGAAAGTGTGAGCACATCTACTTGAAAAATACTATTTGTTTCCAGTTAGTTTAGATCCTTCCAGAAGGTTGGCTTTGGTCTTTGGGGTTAAATGAGGCAACATGACCCAAACTCTTCCTTTTATTCAGTTCTGTTCAGCAGAAACAAACTAAGATCTTCAAATAAATCCGGCCTGTCATAAACTGCAACATGCTGGAAACTGCTTTTAATCCTAATCTCTACCACTGTGAATAGATGGAGATTAAACACAGACTGAGACTAAGCGAGGAATTGCTGCTAAATCATCAACTGTTATCTGAAATGAAATGTGCATCTGCTCAGAGATGATCTGAAGGTTGAATGTTAGAAGAAGGGCCCAGAAGTCTGTATAGAAATGTATAAAACACAAAGAACAGGCAGCATTATTGCTAGCATCATGCTACGGGGCAGTTTTTCTTCTCCTCTCTGGAATACCTTCACATTCCATAAATCTGTCTGAACAGCAGAGGGACGGATGAAGCAGGCCTTCTGGAACTGCTCTCTATACTCCCATTTACACTAGCAATTTTTTAAAACTGCTGGGAACCGTCCGAGCACGGTCACCAAGATAACTGTTGAGTGTAAACGGAACGCAACTGAACTGGACCGTGCCAGACACAACCAAACTGAGCTAGATCTAGAACTAGTTCATCCGTAGGGCTCGGAACGGTCCAGTTCTGGTTCGGTTCTCTGATAACAAAGAGTGAATGAGCTGACTCATTTCGCAGGGTGTCCGCTGTATGCACCAGATCTGCTCTGGCCCTGAGCATGCCAGTGACCTTCTGCTACATGATTGGCTGAACGTTGCCACATGATGTAAAACATTGTGTTTGCCCAGACAACGATAATAACATCACACAACGTCCATGTGCCGAGTCGGGAGCATCTGTAGCATTAGCCTGTCTAATAACCGATGAAGTTTTACCTGAACCATAACAAAACTGAAAAAAACGGTTGATATAAAGTGGGAGCGCTGTGGCTAGCTGTGCTACAAGTAGAATAACTGTTGTTTTATTTGTCTAAAATCTCCACAAAAGTATTTTTTTAAGATGTCCCATTTGTCCTCCTCCGATCTTAAAAAGAATAAAAATAAGTTCAGTCGTAGAAGGCAGTACTTTCCTTTAAGACTGACAATGATTGTTTTCTACTTTTGGCTACTTTAGATCACCAATGAAATGATCAGTAATAATATGTTGAGACTCCAAAAGAGGTGCAATAGTTTGTCTGAATAGATTTGCCGTATGATTAAGTCATTAGAAGGGGAGGGAGCAGTTCTGGTAGCTACACCGGCTTTGGAATTCACAGATCTTTTCACCTGTTCACAGCAGAAACTTCTCTTATTAACGATACACTGCATGAAAAGAGCGCGGTGCGACCTGGGACGATGCTGAGACTGAGGCTCTTAGTGAAATTTGGGCAGAGGACGCTATCCAGGCACATACGATCCTGAATGTTGTGGGCGCCGCCATTTTTGTTTGCGTCTTTCCCGCATTGAGAGCTGTAGTATGATTGACCGCAGATAGGAGCAAAGAACCGTGCTATTGTGATGTGTATCTGTATCTGCACAGTTAACCAATCCAAGCTTGGTCAAAAAACTATGCACGGATCGGTTTCACAAGGGAAGTGGAAATGGGGCAATTGTTTGGGGGCTGTTTGTAGAGGCCCTTCTATTTAAAGACATTTTATGAGTTTTTACAGAAAAATATCTTTAAAATATCCTTTTTATGACCCTTAACAGTCAAGTCATGGTTTGATGAGCAGCTTGGCGGCTCAGTTGTTCAGCGCACATCCATCTATAATGCGGGGGCCTGTTTTCCTGAATGTACTTTGGGTCAGAAGTTCTCACGTTGTTCTGCGGATGTGAAGTCAATCATCCATGTTGAATGGGTCCGACCCAGCAAACAATCGAAGCCTTATGTTGTAGATGGATTTTGTAGTTAATCAGAAGTCAAGGTGAGAAATTTCTCAAGGTGAGAAAATAGAAAAATTTAAATACAAGAAGGAGTAGAAGAGAGCTGCAGTTCATGCCTCTTTAATGCTGGAACTCCAGCCAGCTTCTTTAGGACCATTCATCCAAAAACCTCTGAAAGTTTAATTATTTGAGCTCATTCATATAATTTAGACCCTTTGTGAAGATTTGAGGTAAATTCTTGCTTTTAAAATGCATTGAATAAGCGTATCCTGAACACCAAAAGTTTTTTTTTACTGCTTTGATATAAACCTGAATGCCTCTGCAGCCAAAGCCAGGAGAGGCTGTGGATTTCAAAGATGTGAAATTAGAGGGAACAGCTCCCACTCATATGTTTTGTCTCTTTCAGCTGATCAAGTATTGGGAGGCGTTCCTACCTGAGGCCAAAGCCATCGCCTAGCAGCTGACCCTCTGCCTTCTTTATACACTTTACCTCTTTTGCCTTGAAAGCAAGAAATGTGTGCATTGAAAAGGGAGATACATGAACATGTTTTGTAATACAATCATCTTTACTATATAGCTCTGTATTCTGTTGTATTAATAACTGTATATTTTCATTTATCCTTCCACAATATTTTCTTACTAGAGAAAAAAAATGAACAGCTAGAAATGAAAGGATTGTAGCTAAATGATTGCATTAGTTTCTGAGCTAGTGAATGGGCCAGAGCAGCGCCCCCTATGGGAGAGGAGGATCTCCTTTCAGTGGCTCCTCCTGCAGAGGAGGTTAGGCCGAAGGCGGCGGAGAGTCTCGCTCCGTTTCCAGCTTGTGATGAAACCTCAAAGGGATTAGATCACGTTTTTGAGCACTTCTAGCCTCTGGATTATCTTCAAGCACTAGTTGGTTTATTTGTCTTTTGCAGAATAAAGTAGAGGGGCTGAAACGGGGCTGTGGGTTTTTTTTTGTTCACTTTTTCAGTCATGAAAAACTTGTATGTGCCTTTATACTTGGAGATGATGTGAGTGGAGCTGAGGCTGTGTTCCTGAAACAGATGAGCATGTCTGGGCCTGTTTGTCATCGTGTCCATGATCAATCAGCAATCTACCAGCCATCAGCAGGCTTATAGAAGACTCAGCAGGTTGCAGCCATGGCGTCAAACTGGGATTTATGGATCTCAACAAGCTTTAGCTGGTAGGACTGTTTTCTGTTCTGCTTTATGGAATTCTCAGTCCTCTGTTTCTTCAGATGAGCTAATGCCACCTGCACCAAAATTAAGGGCAACATGTCAGTTTTGACTTTAAAATCTAAAATTTCTGCTGATATTCCAAACGTTTGAAACATCCGTTAAAAACTAAGCTATTTTTTTAATAACTTGTATAATCCAAGGAAGAAGCAGAAAAACAAAGAAATTTTTTGTAGGTTATCATAAATAGAAAGTGTGAGAATCTGACTGTGCAGCTTAGCGGCATCCAGCAAACAGGAGGGAGTTTAAAATCCAGAGCAACTCATGTTCCTGCTGAGCAGAGGAAATCACATACCTGCTTTGTTTTGTTTCTTTCTCTTCATAGATCCCAAAAAATCCTGAGCTTTTTTTCCCCCTGTTTATTTACATGATTTTACACCACATTACTAAAACTGTTTGCCCTCCTACTGTGTCACTAATGTAATGTCAGGACATGCACTGTATCAGACATTTAAAAAAAAATCAATAAAATTTTCACTGTTTACTCTTGGAAATGTTTTAGATACTTCTTTTTCATGAAAATCTTTTGTAGAAACATTTCAGTTTTGCAGGACATTTCTCAGGAAACTCTGACATCCAAGAGAGCATCACCTGGAGGTCAGAAACCTGCCATGGAGTCCAGAGATGCTTAAAGTACATAAAGCTTGGTTAGAAACAAGCTTTTTTTTAAGCCCTTTTCTTAAAAACACAAAGGTTTTGGGATTTCCCCACTAACTCAGAACTGAAAGGTTTTGTAAGTTGTGCCGCATGATGCGTTTAATCGTTAGGGGAAAAAAGGTTAGCATGCTAAGCATGCAGCCCTGAGGTTCCTTGGTGAACATATTCTTTTTGTCCACCTAAAACCAAGTAATTTAGATTTGATGTGTTTATTCTGTTAGAAATCCTCATTTTTAATAAAAGGCAAACCTGTAAAATGTGGAATAAGTTCAAAGTCAATGTGAAGCACAACGATCTTGCATAACTGCAACACTGATTTTATGACAGAATCTGGTGAAAGCAATAAAAATGGCAGTTTAAGAGGATGATTGTAAAAAGGACGGTGAAACATGTCAGCAGCTTTTACATTTACTGGCACCTTATTCCTTTAGAGTGGTCTAATGGTGGCTCTGACTGTAGCTATTATCTCTTCATTCCCAGACCCACCTCGCCTTTATGTCACGTTCCTGTCCATTGTTCAAGGGCCGCTCAGTCCAACTGGAAATGACCCCAAGAACACAGGAGGGTGAGGTTCTGGTTTGGCTCTGGTTAACTTTAATAAATCTTATTATTCCATCAAATTTAAAGCAGGTTTTTCCCTAATTCCTCCAAATATACATTTATTCTGAAATATGAAGCAATGATTTTAGCCTCCATGTGCTTATTAATGAGAAGACTGCTGTTTGGAAATAAAAAAACTTGCTGACATTCAATGTTTTTTAACGGAGACCTAAATCGGTAGGATGTCGCCGTCTGACTTTGAGGCCACTCTTCAAATTTGATGCCACCTTTTTATGACAGACTCATCAGAAGAAACCAACCAATACATTAAAGAAGCAGCCCAAAGTCTGACTCGGGTTCAATAGTTTAACTGAAGCTTTTAATGATGCTGTAAAACTGGCTTCAGTCATTATTTGGGAATTTAGCACTGAGACCTGATACTGAATATAATCAATATAATGGCTGAGAGGCTGAAAATAAAAGTTATGGTTCCAATTAATAAATGGTAAAATAAGGCAGTTACATCATCTTTGCTTTTCCATTTATTAAAAACTATTTACATTAAGATGTGCTGATACAAACTGTCACATGATGTGGTCTGCTAGCTGGGAACCTGCCATCCCTCAAAACGTGTTATCCACCTGATCAGAAAAGGCCGGCAAACTGAATAGAGGCAGCGGCTCAGTCCAATGAGCCACGGCGGGGGAACGACCAGATAAATGCGTCTAAAAGAAATCTTCAGAACACCAACAAAGAAAACACGCATCATTTTGGCAGCTGACAATGCAAAAAAAAACAAAGTTATTCTATCGCAGATTAAGGTATGAAATAATCCTGCACACCGAGGGAATGACTCGGCATATATACAGGTGCTGGTCATAAAATTAGAATATCATGAAAAAGTAGATTGATTTCAGTAATTCCATTTAAAAAGTGAAACTTGTATATTATATTCATACATTACATACAAACTCATATATTTCAGATGTTTATTTTGTTTAATTTTGAGGATTACAAATGACAACAAATGAAAATCTCAAATTCATCATATCAGAAAATTAGAATATTGTGAAAAGGTTCAAAATTGATGGCCCCTGGTGCCACACTCTAATCAGCTAATTAACTCAAACCACCTGCAAAAGCCTTTAAATGGTCTTTCAGTCTAGTTCTATAGGCTACACAATCATGGGGAAGACTGCTGACTTGACAGTTGTCCAAAAGACGACCATCGACACCTTGCACAAGGAGGGCAAGACACAAAAGGTCATCGCTAAAGAGGCTGGCTGTTCACAGAGCTCAGTGTCCAAGCACATTAATAGAGAGGCGAAGGGAAGGAAAAGATGTGGTCGAAAAAAGTGTACAAGCAAGAGAGATAACCGCACCCTGGAGAGGATTGTGAAACAAAACCCCTTCAAAAATGTGGGGGAGATTCACAGAGTGGACTGCAGCTGGAGTGAGTGCTTCAAGAACCACCACACACAGACGTATGAAAGACATGGGTTTCTGCTGTCGCATTCCTTGTGTCAAGCCACTCTTGAACCACAGACAGCGTCAGAAGCGTCTTGCCTGGGCTAAAGAGAAACAGGACTGGACTGCTGGTGAGTGGTCCAAAGTCATGTTCTCTGATGAAAGTAAATTTTGCATTTCCTTTGGAAATCAAGGTCCCAGAGTCTGGAGGAAAAGAAGAGAGGCACTTCATCCACGTTGCTTGAAGTCCAGTGTAAAGTTTCCACAGTCAGTGATGGTTTGGGGTGCCATGTCATCTGCTGGTGTTGGTCCATTGTGTTTTCTGAGGTCCAGGGTCAACGCAGCCACATACCAGGAAGTTTTAGAGCACTTCATGCTTCCTGCAGCTGACCAACTTTTTGGAGATGCAGATTTCATTTTCCAACAGGACTTGGCACCTGCACACAGTGCCAAAGCTACCAGTACCTGGTTGAAGGACCATGGTATCCCTGTTCTTAATTGGCCAGCAAACTCTCCTGACCTTAACCCCATAGAAAATCTATGGGGTATTGTGAAGAAGAAGATGCAATACACCAGACCCAACAATTCAGAAGAGCTAAAAGCCACTATTAGAGCAACCTGGGCTATCATAACACCTGAGCAGTGCCACAGACTGATCGACTCCATGCCACGCCGCATTGCTGCAGTAATACAGGCCAAAGGAGGCCCAACTAAATACTGAGTGCTGTACATGCTCATACTTTTCATGTTCATACTTTTCAGTTGGCCAACATTTCTATAAATCCTTTGTTTTTATTGGTCTTCAGTAATATTCTAATTTTCTGATATGATGAATTTGAGATTTTCATTTGTTATTTGTAATCATCAAAATTAAACAAAATAAACATCTGAAATATATGAGTTTGTATGTAATGTATGAATATAATATACAAGTTTCACTTTTTAAATGGAATTACTGAAATCAATCTACTTTTTCATGATATTCTAATTTTATGACCAGCACCTGTAAAGGGCGCCATTAATGGTTCAGTCCGGCGTAAATCCAGGGCATGGATGGAGCCGCTTGAGCTCAAACCTTGCTTCAGCCCCTGATGGTAAGATGCTGATTAGCTGTGAAAAACAGGTTAGCCGTGTTTGCAGTGACATCATCTTAAGCCACGAGAGAGACGACTGTAATTCCACGTGGAGCCAAATCAGTCATTATGCTGAGAAAAAGCCAGATTTTTAATGGCAGGTTTGGGAGGGGAGCTGATGGCAGCCACAGGTTTACATACCCCGATCATTGAGCATCTCTCTGATCCTTCCTGGTCTTACAAGCTGGACTGGGATCAAAAATAAATATTCATCCTCTGCAATGAAGTCATGCTTTCCTGGGACACAGTCTGCTGTAATCCCGGCCCACATCCTGAAGGTCAACCCCTCCACCGCAGCCCAATCGGACCAAATTAATAAGGACTAAACTAATCAATGGATAATATATGCGTTTATGAGCTGCAACAGATGGCAAACACTTTAACACAAATAAACAGAAAGCTACTAGTAGGGGTGTATGAATATATTTAAGCTTGTTTGTATGATTTTTACCTAATGGGGTTTAAAGTTGCAATTAAAAAAAAGTTGTCTAATCAGTCCACCATGGAGGTAAAGCTGGGCCTGGTTCTGATCCAGTGTCAGGTTCTGAAGTGTGACGATTGACATACGCAACACTGTGGTGAGATTTCACAGCAAATAAAAAGTGACTTTTATCTGAAGCCAAATAAAGAAATAAACACCTCTGTGGTTCACATCAGTTCTGCTTAATAGACCTAAAACTCATGCAGGTTGGAAAGAACAGAGAGCTTTGGCAGCTATGGCCCAGTTCAAGTTGCGTTTCAGAGGATCCATATTTCTTCGTCTTGGGTTCATACATGTGAGCAGAAACATTCTTGTGTTGACTCATAGGATGCTTCAGGTTGAAGCTGGGCGGGGTTTAGAGATGGCTGCTCTTCATGGAGCTCATTCGGCGGCGGCTTGCGAGCCGTTTTTCACCACAGTCTGAGCGACGTACCGAAGAAGCCCTCCATGTTGGAAAAGGATCAGGTCCACATCGGAGTCAAACAGCGCTGTGACACAGAACGACGTTCCCTTGCTGGTCTGCAGGAAGAAAACAGAAGAACAGAGGACTCAGCAGACGGTCTAAGACGACATTTAAATGGACGTCGCTGAGGATCAGATCCCTACCCTGACGGTGAGCTGCTGCCTCAGACTCAGCCTCTCCGGCAGGATGATGCTAAACCGCTCCTTCCCGCTCAGCTCTAGCGTGTCGGCATTTTGGCCAGACAGGAACTGGAGCGGCATGATGCCCATGCCCACCAGCTGGTTCTTGTGAAGCTTCTCGAAGCTCTCTGCGATGACGCCGCGGACACCCTGGAAACACAGACCATCAGACAAGGTATCGATCCGAACAATTTGAACACCTAACCGGAGCGCAGGGCTGAAAGCTGCGTCATGCTGAGAGAGAACGATTAAAGTCCAGCTCTACAGCCTGTAGCGAGCACTCAGCAGAGAGCAGGAAGTCAATCAGTGGTTATTTAATGAATTAATGAGCAAAATCTGAAGGATTGGATCCATTTTGAAATTATTTACCAGGAGGTACGGCCCTTTAGCAACCCAGTCCCTAGAGTTCCCAGAACCGTAGTCTTTGCCTGCCAGGATGATGAGAGGAGTGCCGTCCCTCTGGTAGCGATCGGCTGCTTCAAAGACGTCAAGCTGGAAGGAAGCAAGGAAAGGAGGGGAGGGAGGGAGAAGAGAGAGCAATTTTCAGAAAAAAGTGTCTTCAAGCTTCCAGCAA